GACTATTTTCTCAACTTTATCAAGATCATAAGCAATACAAATTGTGAGACAAATACATATAGAGAAACTATGGCAACAAATCTGAAACCATACAAGAAAACCAATAATGAGATAATATGCAAGATATAACATCAAAGGAAACAATTAATTTAAAAGGGTCATTATAATCCGATAGTATGTGTTGGGCTAATATTCTTCGAAACGTGACATGAATTAGTAAACATGTCGAAATAAGAATGGGTCGTAAAATTGAAGTATTTGAGAAAAAAAAAGCTGGTGCTTTCATCGTGTTAAGACGAATAGTCCGGCCATTTTATTGTGTTACTATGATATCACAAATGACAAATTTAAATATAAATTATAAAAACTAAAACGAAATAACAATTAACCACGAAAATTAATTAATCAAAATGTTATAATACATGTAATCATATTTTAATTACATCTACATATTTACCAAGATCTTTCAGCCTTACGGCGTCTTCACGGCAAAGGGTGCCGTGACGCCGAAAGGCCTTGGCAAATATGTAAAGGTAATAAAAATATAGTTTTTTCCATCCAAATCATAGTATTTTTATATATCAATAAATCCGAATCTTTCAACAAAATCAATAGTGGTCGAGATGATATTCAAGATATAAGATCAAAGGAATCAATTAATTTTAAAGGGTTGTTATGGCTACTGATAACGTTAACACGTCGCCTGGATATACTAATAACCAGCATATTCTTCTGATTAAGCATTGCTGGACTTACAATTGATAATAATAAAAAAAACATTTATATACCATGTGATTTATTACAGACAGCGTTACATAATTTACAGGTTGGACATGTAGTGTTACTTTCGATGACCTCTACTACATGAAGATATGAGAGGGAGAGAGAGAGAGAGAGAGAGAGAGAGAGAGAAATGGGGTTTAACGTCCACTCGACACAGACTATGTCATTTCGGGACTAACATAAGGTTGGACAGGCGACCCTACTCCTTGTCACGTACAACCGGGGATTCGAAACCACGACAGTCGACTCAATGACAGACTTTATGATACAGCGCGCCCACGCTAACCATTCAGCCATCCAACCCCCCCATGAAGATATGACCAGTTGTAGTGGATAGTCACGTCAAAGGTCATACGAGCGACTTTGACCCTATGCCGTCAGACATTTGATTAAGCAATCAGCGTTGATGTTTCTAGTGGGTTACCCACAGTTCCGTGCAACTCACGCCAAAAACTTGCCGTAACAGACCGTTTCATTGGCTAATCCCTCACATTAATCAGAACGCGGGTTATATAACAACTCTTCCAGATCCTAGTGTAGTAAAGACAAGTAAAACAAAATGTTGAAGTATAAAAAACAAAACGAAATAGGATCTGCGCTTTAATCAGCCTGTATAAGAGTGGGCTGTGGCGCTGCTGTCTGGACACGATATCCTCGTTTTCATTACCCCCGTTGGTGTAGAACAATAGGACGTTAAACCCTATTTCATCTCGTTTCCATATATTATAGTTTAACATACATATGATAGATACAGCTATTTTAAAGGTGGACAAGTGCCATTTCACACAACCTGTAAAAATAGTATTTTTGCATATTTTTAGACCAGGGCACTAGAATTGACATACTGTGAAAAGAAGAATTAGAATGATATAAATGAACAAGTTGTTAAGCAAATCTGCTAAAAATGGATTTATTTGAAGAAATCAAATAATCGTATTTAAAAACAACGGAACTGCAGGTCTACTTTATTGCTATGAAATCTTCAATTATTAATTTGAGTGTCACCAGACATGGCTCTCAGCTGATTTGGACATAAATTGCGACCGGGAAATTGAAGCTACTGATGTATAGATGTTACAATTTTCGTTAGTTTGTTTTCTGTACTTGTCCACCCCAATCTGCCCTATTCGTTTATTTTTTCCTAAAGTAATTGGAAAGATTTATTAATCCTAATATTTGTATGCGCGTGGCGAATATTGATCTTTACTTAATCTAAATAATTTTAAACTTCCGCAATCCTTGAAATATAAATCCCCTCGCCTATAAAGACAATATCATTGATTCGGGTGAGATATATGAGTATAACTATGCAATATAACTATGGGTATATCTAAGAATATATCTTTATCTCTACGTGATCGTGCGTCTTGTATGAAGTGTAGTTCGAATGTGCACAGTCATAGATCAGAAAGCAGCATAGATGTCGCCATAGATATGGCCACTATAATACACATAGATGTATCCATAGATATACCAACTATAATACACATAGATATATCCATAGATATACCAACTATAATACACATAGATATATCCATAGATATACCAACTATAATATACCAACTATAATACACATAGATATATCCATAGATATACCAACTATAATACACATAGATATATCCATAGATATACATACTATAGATATACATACTATAATACACATAGATATACCCACTAAATACACATAGATATATGCATAGATATACCCACTATAATACACATAGATGTATCCATAGATATACATACAGATATACACATACACCCGAAAATTGAACCGGAAGTGGTATTCCAACGCCACCTAACCTGTGTTACTTCCCTGACCGAGCTACCCAAATACACCAAATTTCAGCCTCGTGGCAGCCCTGGTGTAGCCGCCAATCCTAAACAGACAGACAGACAGACAAACGACAGTCACAAATATTACCATAGATAAGATTTAGTAGAGGCTGTAACGTTATAACCATGTTGAAGCTAATTCAGTTTGTATGTGCTGAATAAAGATTAGATTATCTCCTCTCGATCTGCCTCTTCCTCTTGATCTGCCTTTTCTTGGGTGTAAAACTAAAGCATGAACGAATCAGCTTATCCCTACTACTTGTTCTAGAACAACTTTATTTGGATCGAAATGCTAAAAGCTTTGGTACCGACAGGGGTCCTATATAGTTGAGGGTCAACCCCCCGGATAGACAGACGTCCGTACGCTTTGTCACGTACAGATCCAGAATCGCCCCCCCCCCCTCTCTCTCTCTCTCTGTAGATCACGTCGTTAAGATATGAAGATTGATAGAACTCGATATGCTATAGTGTTGATGTTTATTAATTAGACCCACCTACTACGTACAGTAATCAATGGATGGTTAGAGATACGTCCTCTAATCAGAAGATAAACATCCGGGCTGTTTAGATTGGCTATTATAACAAATATCATCGGAAACGTGTGAATATCACTCGCATCAATAAACTTAAAGGGCTAACCAGCTGGTTCACTCATGAAAGTGTTTTATATAGTATCTGTAACATGATATTTATATGGATTTTAAAGCGAATTTAGGTTAGATCTATTGCATAAGGTGACTTACAGATCCTACCCTAACCCACTACTCGTCAAGAATCACGTGCCCTAACCCTATTTACATCACGGCGCCCTTGATGAAATCTGCAGGTAGCTTTAATAGTTAGATCTAGCCGCGAATTGGGCTTCTTCTCCATTGAATATTTCGGCTCATTAAACTGGGGAGCTCGCATTAGGCTTCTTCTCCATTGAATATTTCGGCTCACTAAACTGGGGAGCTCGAATTAGGCTTCTTCTCCATTGAATATTTCGGCTCACTAAACTGGGGAGCTCGAATTAGGCTTCTTCTCCATTGAATATTTCGGCTCACTATACTGGGGAGCTCGATCCGTACGTTAGCCGAGAAAGTTCATCTGGATTTTCCAGCTATAGTTGTTCGGATGGGACGAAAGACCGAGGTCCCGAATACACATTGAATTGCACGCAAAAGATGCCTTGGCAGTTTGAATTCGCTGTGAGAGTAGGTTGTAGCTCCGCTGACCGGGTAAAAATTTTCCTTCTATAGCACACTGTATGTCGCATGCCCGTCTGCATTATCCCAGTCGGAGCAGAACAGTAGGACGTTAAACCCCATTCCATTTCCATTGAATTTTATCAGTTTGATTAATTTCTTTTTTAAGAAGTACATTTCCAATTTACTCCAATTTTACTTTCGTTCCGCGGCATGGAATATAAGGTAATTAACGACATAAGGATTTTTTTCTATTTTTGTTAAACTCCTCTAGAAGGCATCGACTATTAATGTGTAAAAGAAAATCTTCCAATTACTATTGCTTTATAACTTTTCCTGTGAATAACACCTACCGTCAAACATTAATACAGGAGTAAATCAATTTTAAAAGGATCTTTCTTAATGGGTCTTCGATTTCTTGGTTATTATTCCATCTTCTACTTTCGTTTTGTACACTCCTCCCTGCGGTGTGTGAACACATTTTAATTAGAAATACACGTCTTTGTTTGTGGGGGTTAAACAAAACGGAAACATGGCAATCAGTAATTTAATATCGTCCATATTTGTTTGTGTTTTATCTTGTTTATATTCTATGGCTTAACATCAAAATTCATTTTGAAATTTAACTAAAATAGCAATTAAATTGTATATCTTTTTATTTTTTCTTGTACACGAGACCTCGGTTGTTTGTCCCATCTAGATACTGGTTCTTTCCAAACTGACAAGCGGAAACTACGCTGGAAACTACACAGGGAACAGATGATCTAATCCCGGGGTACCAAGGATCTAACCCGGGAACAGAGGATTTAACACAGGGGACAGATGATCTAAGCCGGGGAACAGAGTATCTATCCCGGGGAATAGTGGACCTAACCCGGGGAATCAGAGGATCTTACACAGGGAACAGATGATCGAACCCTGGGAACAGATGATCTAAGCCGGGGAACAGAGCATCGAACCCGGGACCTTTAGTTAATGAGTTAGCGCCTTACTCAGTGAGCCACCGTGGATCTACTTTCGTTTTGACGTCTTGTCCCTTCAGTCAGGTATCCAACAGATGGTTGGGGACAAATAGAATCTGTCAGAGTAGGATTATCGATATCGATACCACATGATACGTGTCTAATAATATAGAAGATTCCATTAACCATTTTTTCTCTCTCTCATTTTCTCTCTTTTAAGATGAATCAATATTATTCTGATTATAAGAAAGACGTCGACAGACACAAAGCGAAATACACAATACACGATATGACAAGATTTCACCAAAAAACAGGTAAATATTACAAATTTGTTATTTCTATTTTTCATTTATCCTGATATTCATCCGCTTTTTAAAATCTATTTTAAGTTTTCTCTCCAGTTATACTTTTATTTACCGTTTTATTGCTGCTTTATTTATTTATGTAGTTATATTTTTTAAAATCTATTTAAAGTTTTCTCTCCATCGTTTCTGTTTATTTATGTAGTCATATTTTTATTTACTGTTTTATTGCTCCTTTATGTATGTAGTTATATTGTTTGTTTACCGTAATATTTAACCGATGTATATCTTTTTAGATAATTATTTAAGTTTAATTTGATTCTCTTTTATTTATATCATTATTTACCATTTTATTGCCCCTTTATTTATGTAGTTATATTTTTTTGTTTAGCGTTATATTTATCCGATGTATACGTTTTAGATAATTATTAAAGTTCTAGTTGGCCGTTTAATTTTAGGCACTTTACATCACCAGTTTGATAAATATTCTAGGGTTTATTGATTAGTATTTTTTATTAACCGTTATATTCATCCGCTTTATACCCCAGTTTGATAAATATTAACGATTTATTTATATTATTTTTTTTGTTTATCAATATATTCATCCAATTTATACCCTCAGTTTGGTGTTGTCTCGTCATCATCAGCTTTATACCAACAGTTTGTAATAAATATTAAAGTTTTAATTTATTCCGTTGTTTATTTAACCCCTTTATGACCCCCGTTTGATAAATATTAAAGGCTTTATTTATTTATTTTTTATTTACTGTTATATTCATCCGCTGGGTTTATTTATTTCGTTTTATATTTACTGTTATATTCATCCGCTTCTTACACTCTGATAAATGTTAATGGTTTATTTATTGCTGTGCTATTTACCGTTATATTCCTGCGCTTTAGCCACAAGCGCGTTAATGTCTCGCCTTGTTCTAACATTACCTTTATCTATTACGTTTTGTTATATTGTCTTTGTTTGCGAATAATGTAATTTCCGTTTTGCTAGTTTGTCTGTGCTAGCGAATAATGTAATTTCCGTTTCGTTAGTTTGTCTCTACTTCAGAATAATATTATTTCCAATGTGTATCGCTCATAATATCCAATTTCTACTGTCTATGTCGGTAAAATGGTTTTACATTTTAGATTTGTAAATGCTATTAACTTACAGCTTTATTAACTTTTAGCCATTTTATTTAAAGGGTCTTTTGATCGTCGATGATTATATTTCCCGCTAGTTTAAGATAAGCGATACTCTCAAGTATAGTGAACGTGCTTTCTCCACTGCTTCTCCCATCAGCAAATGGATTTAAATTTCGTTATTATTTTTATGAGACTCGAATTTAATCCCGTGCGTCTATTTGTTTTAGTTATTGATTAAATAATTATGTTTGTTCCCCCTGTTTATTTGTATAAAAATGTTATTTTTAAAATTTCAACCGTCGTTCATTTATGTAGGTCATATCGGATAATTAATTAAGGAGAATAACATTATATCGTCTGATGACTGAATCTATTTGTTAAGGCAGCTCAAGGTCGTTGAGATGTAAATAAGGTTAGAGCACGTGATTACTTACGAGAGGTTACTTAAAAGTCTTCACATAAACACTGACCTAGGATGATGAAAATTTGGTTCGTAATATTTTCTAGTTTTATTAAAAATGCATGCAATACATTAGATTTATATACAGAGTTGATTTCGCTGTTTTTTGGTGTTGGTGGCGCCGATGGCCGTCCTTCGGTGTCACTTGTGGTATTCTGGTATTTTTGTTTCTGAAGAAAAAAGAATAAATTTGAGGCTCTCGGGTGAGAGCCACATTAGTATGTTTCCTACTTGGGCTTGGAATTTCTAAAAATGATTTTTTTCCACTCTCCCGGGGGTAGGGCTAGGGATTCTTATAACTAGTTGATTTTATTTACTAAGGGTTAGTTAATATTTGTTATATTTTTCTTTCCAGGAATCATCGATGACAAATACAAATGTGTAGAATTGTAACCTTTGCAATATAGAAGAATATGGGAGGTTTTTATATTTTCTGTTTATGGTTTGCTTTGTTTACAAAAATTATCACAGCCTGGGAGTTCAACATATGTAAGTATACATTTCTCGGTTTGTCCGATAGCCTAGATCGTGCACGTTTTATGCGAACTTCCTAACTAGTAGTAGTGAAATATTACAGGCAACTCATGTACAGTGCCGGATTCAGATGAAGAAAAGTGAGTAACCCCCTCCCCCCCCCCCCCGTCTAAAGGAAGATGAAAGCGTGTTTTAGACACACTTAAAGATACATTACAGGAGATTAGATAAAGGGTTGGCAGTTCTCACTATAATACTTAAAAACTAGATAATGTAAATAGAATATGCTAAAAATTTCAGTCGAATTGATCCACTCTTAACCGAGATTTTAGCGATTGAACTTTCGGCCTAGCCTCGATCATCCTTACTGAAGTCGGTACGATATAAACATAGTCTCGATTATCCATTTCATGATTAAATCATGAATGAAAGTTGAGCAGCAAATGGGATCCTAATTCAGTAAATATCGCAGGCTAGCGATGACATCGAGAGCTGATTATGGTCTGGTTAAGTTATTAATGTCTAACTAATAATTTAGATGTTTAAGACTACATGTGTAAAAAAGGCTAATGACCATGTCTATAATATTATACTACACTTTGTCGAGTGACCCCACACATGAACTTGAGGATCCCAGACTTCAGTCTCTTGAAAAATCCGGTTCTGTCCATGTACTAAAACAAGGATATAAAACAGCAGTAATATTAACATTATACATTTCACGGCTTGTCAATCAGAATAAAACTTGAACTTTTGAACTAGGCTTGGCGAGGGTCATATCAGCACTACGATTTTTAAAATTGTAGACTTTTCCTGGAGAAAGTATTTAAATGTTTTCTTTTTACCATTGCTTCACTAATGCTGATATTTTTCATTTGTAACCAAAATACAGAATTCTTTTTCAGGGGTAGGGGAGGTTTTTTTTTGCAGTGGAACTCAAAGTACCACATGAAAGAATTAATGTAGTAGATTAATATCGCGTTAATTTTACATTTTATTACCTTTTTTTTAAAAACAACAGATAGATGTTTAAATTCGCTAAAGTAATTTATTGTCCAATGCTGTTGTTGCTTGTAATTGTTTATTACAAATTTAACGGCCAATACATTATATATGATGTTATAGACAGGTTGATTTAATTAAATTATTTACATGAAAGAGTAATAATTTTGTTTTAAAAAATGTCACTTTAAAGCACCGTATTTATTGGACAGTGTTACAGTTATGTCTCTTCTCTCATCTTCAGGCATAATTCACCAAACTGGTGTGGATTTCCCAGAATCAAACCTTATACAATACATGCACGATGCTATGTTTTCGTTCACCGACAGAGGGCGCTTTCCACAAATAACGCTTAATACTTCCCTGATTGAGCTCTCAAAGACGGAATTACTAGGCATAACGGACAATGGTAAGTATATGCGCATATAGATTTATCTTTACTTCCGGGAGCCACGAAGCTTGGGGGTACAAAGTTCGATTCTGATGTTTTTCGAGAAGTATCTCAGGAAATTATACTGGGTTTTCCAGTGTGGTTTCCCCTTGTCAGTGGTGCTAGACGAATGGAGTTTAGCCCCCTACTTTTCTTCACCGACAGGGTTAATGAAGACGGACACAACGGCATAACTGCTTACTCTATATCGAATTCCTTCCTTAAAGGGTTCTTTTATGTGCATACCGACGTGTACACCGGACCTCGGTTTTAGTCCTATACGAACGAATAGACACTGCCAGGCACCACAGGCAGCAGGTAACCACACATAATAACCAGCAACAGGATCGACCCCGAGACTCCTGGTTAATGAGCCAGGGTCTTACTCAATGTGCCACCGCGGCTCCCACAATGTCTAGCACTCTGGGGTCGAAGTTTTTTTGTTTTTTTTGTTTAAACATATTTTATTGACAAATATCAAAAGGATTGAGCACAAGTTTCAAAAACTTAGAAAAGCCCTTTCCATACATAGAAATGATAGACATTATTTAATACAAACAAGATTGCGAAATAGTATATACAATAATAAATAATTTATAAGTAATATAAGTAAAGTCAGATGAATTATATCGCAAAGCTCTATATAAAATAAGTGAAGAGGTGATAAAGAGAATATAAAATTATATTTAAAACATTGAAAAATAAAGTTTAATAAATGGGATATAAATGAACTGATGCATGTATAAAATGACAAAATAAATAAAAATGGGGGGTGCGGGAAAAAAAAAATGTTATCCACCAAAAAAGCTAAAGCTAATAATTTATTCTAAGATGTAACTACTAACAATAACTTTTATTTAAATCGTTTTGAAAGTTTGATATATTTGTGAACTTCAAGGAAAAGGTTTGTATTCATCTCAATTGACAATTCTGAATTGCCGCACAATAGGATATCTATATTTATCACAGAATAACTTGACAGTGTATTTAATAGTTTAGCACGAATTACATCATATAAGTGACATTGCAGGAAATAGTGTTCGGCATTTTCTATAAATTTGCCACAAGAACATGTGGGATCATTCACAACGTTTATTTCATACAAATCATTTTGCAACGAACTACACCCATGCCGTATTCTAGTGTGAATAATATTTTCATGTCTATTACCTTTACAATAGTAGATTGGCGCTTTATGTATTAAGGAACGTAATTTTTGTTTGTATAGATATTTGAAGGATTTAAGAGTGGTTGATTGCTTTATGGGGTCCTCTAATAATAATTCCCAATCTCGAATTGTTGTGGGGAAGTACGAAGTTTGGTGTAATGTTGTTCTACAATAAGGATATCTATATTCGCTAATGTTTCTTAAATTGTATTTTTGTGGTGTTTGTTGATAATATTCTAGAATGTCATATAAGTATGCTGGGTTTCTCTGATTTTTAATTTGAAAAAATGTAGTTAGTCGCTTTTGTGTACGTCTGTCTGACAATTTATTCGATCCGGTTTCAAAATAAAGCGCTTCACGAGAACAAGTTTTAGTTAGTCCAGTCACAATCCTGGCAGCTTCTAGCTGTACCTTTTCAAGTTTTTCGGTATTGGAAACGTTACACCCATCCCACACTTCACATGCGTATTCCAATTTTTGCCTTATGAATATCAAATATACATTATTTAGAGTTTGTCTATTAAAGGTGAATTTTAGTTTACGCAAAATATATAATAATTTTGAGGTGGACGAGATAATAGTTTCTATATGGATGGTCCATTTGGCGTCATTTGAAAGGGTAATGCCCAAGTGTTTGTGACATTTAACCACTTCAAGTGCTTGATTATCGAATATCAGACTCGGATAATTTTCTGTTTTTTTAGAGCTAAATAAAATAGCTTTTGTTTTGTTTGGATTAAAGTTTATAAGCCAATTATTCGCCCAAATGTTAAGATTTGTCAGATCGTAGTTTAGGGACTGTTCTATCTCTGAAACTGACTGTTTGCTACACCCAAGTGCCGTGTCGTCTGCAAATAATCTAGCCACATTATGGAGTACATCTTGTACATCATTGATGTAAGTCAAAAACAAAAAGGGGCCCAAAACTGATCCCTGGGGAACTCCTGATTGAAGAGTAATCGAAGTTGCACGTAAAAGAACCCTGAAAGATGGAATTCGAAATATGGAAGTATAGATCTATTGTACTTCTGTTTGTGGATGTTTTCATATATTTTGTGTATATTTATTGAGTGGTTCCCTGTCTTACCAAGAATTTTAAATCAGTTGTATTAACTGTGTATATTATTGGGGAGGGGGGGGGGTGCTATGAATTGTTTACCCTATCTGCGTATTGATCTGTAGTCCGCCTTCATTGTCTGTTAAATATCAAGTAATAAATGTTTATGACGTGCTTGGAGGAAACCGAAGTACCCGGAGTAAACCCACAAGAATGAGAAGGCGCCCCTATCCTAAGGCGCATACTCTCAAACCAGGGATCACGACCGCAAGCCAGAGGTAGTCGTCTTACTAATAACCCCCTAATAAGTGTTGAATATTATTTCCAGGTTGTTCTAAAATACCACCAAGTTGTCATGGATTAATCACAATAGCCGACTGTTCGCAAGCTTCATTGATCAACGTTTGGGCTTCCAAACACGTGATACCTCACGTGATACTCAACGATAAGTCATGTGATCACCATTCAGATAACGGAATCAAAATGACGCCATATTATCACAGTGAAAACGAGGCTATTACAGCGATTGCTAATCACGAGCAATGGTCGGAAGTTTTAATTTTACATGATTCCTTTATAGGTAAAATAATATATTTTCAAAAGTAGCAATTTTAATTATCCAAACACGGGATATCTCACGTGATACTCAAAGAAAAGTCATGTGATCACCAATGAAACCAGGGATTCAAAATGAGGTCATAACAGCTTAGTGAAAACGAGCATGTTAATAATTTCAGTTATCAATAATTTTGTCAATTTGTTTTTATGAAACCATTTACATGACGTTATATGACGTGTAGAATATGACTATTTCTAACACAGATTTTCTTACCAGTCACCTTTTTGCAATACTTTGGGCGCTTATGATTCATAGCCACTCTAGGGCTCTAGGAAAGACTAAATTATATTTAATCTTTCTTTCTTATTGATTTTTGACAAATAAGGTTGCTCTGCTTTAGGAACATGGAACAGACAAAGTCCCTGAACTATTTATAGTGATAGCCATGTTACCATCACTGCTTCGAACATATTAATTTGTTGTAAAAAGTCAACCACTTTTTTCTTTCAAGGTTCAAAACAAAAAGCAGGCTTGATAAATGAATTATCGAAATATTATATAGGCTCACTATGCCTGGACATCGACGATGGATTATCCAGTCATATGCAGACCATTTTAGATTCCCAATATCGAAACATTATTGTTATAGCCCGTGATCAGAATGTACGGGATGTATTCCAACAGGTACGATTAATGTAATCTTCATCACCATCACCTTCTCTTTAGTCATCATCATCTTCATCTTCAGGTTTCAATTTCTTTATTAATTTATCATCAGCAACAGCAGCAACAACATCTTCATCGTCACCTTCTTCATCTTCATCACCCCCATCATCATCATCATCACCATCATCAGCATCAGCAACAGCAGCAACAACAGCATCTTCCTCATCATCTTCTCTTCACCACCCTCATCATCTTCATCACCCTCATCATCAATGAATCATCTTCATAACCCTCATCATCATCTTCATCACCTTCATCATCTTCATCACCCTCCTCCTCATCATCATCATCTTCTTCATCATCCTCATCACCCTCATCACCATCGTCATCTTCATTACCCTTATCATCTTCATCATCATCATCATCATCATCTTCATCTTCTTCATTACCCTCATCATCTTCATTACCCTCATCATCTTCAACACAATGATCACTCTCATCATCTTCATCACTCTCATCATCTTCATCACCCTCATCATCATCATGAGCTTAGAATAACTATTATATATCTGGAACTTTTACAGGCTAAAGATTTGTCAATGTTGGATGCTGCGTTTTTCTGGTTGGCATATTCTGATACGATATCCGCAGCATCTTTGAAAGAGGGTAAGGTGAATGGCAGTAATGTTGTATTTTTAAAGAGAAAGTTACCGGCTGGGAGTGATCTCCCTTGTCTACAGGTCAATGGTCAATGTACAGGAATCGATTACAAAGAGGTAGGTAAAAAGATTGGGTGGGTTGGTGGGGGATACGTAATAAAAGATGGACGTTTCTACTTTCAATTTACTTTTTACCATCGCCGATGATTGTCTGTTTAACCATAAGTGTTAGGTAGTATTCAGCGAACACTTCAAAGCTCACAACTAAAAGCACTGCAAATAGGTCAAACAACGTTTCTACATTGATTATACGGTGAATACATTTGGTAGTGAATACAAAAGGGAGATCTAAAGGAAATAAAGAAATTAATTACTATGTTAAGTACGGCAAGTTATCATAGCTAACAGTTTATATTGAAAAAAACACTATTTCACGAATTCAACTTTTTTACGAGCTAGGAGCTTTATAAAACCTTAGTTTTAACTAAATAAGTAAAAGTTTTAGTGAATAATAACCCAAGCTGTTTCTTTGACATCACTTCTTCTAATATATGTCCATTGTATTATTTTTAAAATGGAACATATTTCTTGACATCTGGACAGCATTCATCGTGTATTATTGCCAATTGTTTAGCGTAGTAATGTAAATTAAAATATAGATGTGACGTCATCGTTTGCTGTTGGCTTACTATTATTTCAAATAATGGTACAGTGTTGGGTAATACTATAAATTTTACCTTCAGTGTTGTGTAGTACTCTAACTATAAATTATATCGGATTTACGTTCAGTGGATCACTGTACCAAGTTTATCCTCAGAGAATGACGTCAAACAATTAGTTATATTTCATGTGCCATTAGCTCTCATTAGTACTGTATCTAATTAGTCCATATAAATCATTAACAGTATTATAATTAGTGATTGTATCGAAATAATTCCAAGACACCCACAACCCAAGTTATTATACATAATTCTTTTTATCTTTAGAGTGCACAGAAATTATCTCTGCTATAAAGATTAGAGTGCACAGAAATTATCTCTGCCATAAAAATTTATTTTATTTGTATTTGTTAGAATTCATTAGAAATATATTAGGGACAAATCGTGCTTTTGCTCTAAAAAACGCTTACTGTCCATGACAATCGACGAGTAAAGCGATCTATTCTTATCTGATTTCGTATTTAACATGGACGATTGGCTGGCAAAAACAAACACAGATACGTGTTTATTTAAAGGCTCAATACCACTCTTGTTGTAACATAATAATATGTCCCAATCTTTATTCTAGTCAACAAATTGCATTATTTTACAATATTCCAATTAATTGATGATACAAATTTCATCTTAACACACCTAATTTAAAAAATTGGAAAAATTCAACTAAATGATTTGAAAAGCCTAACATAAACCTTTTCAAATGTGACTTGGATTTAAAAATATTTTCGAACCCTCTGGACAAGTAAAATAGGATGTAATGAACAATTTACACACCAGGTAGGACACATAAACATCTAATACTTAAAATAAGGCTATTATTTATTTTCTGGAGCTGTCAAGCCAGCAAGAGTGTTATTGTCCTTTAATGTGTTTAGGAATTCTTAAATTTTTAAGTTTTGTTTCTGTTCCTTGTTCTTCAGGTATTTTTATCTCGTCTTTTGGACTCCTTTGAAATTTTGTCATCCGCCATTACAATGACGTCAGCCGCTACTACAATCAGCGCCACCTACAGTATGTGTAGTACAGATAGCCATGATGTTAACTGGAAGAATAATATAAGCCAGGAGTTGAGTCAGGTGGTTATTATTTTATTGTATTTTAACCAACATTGTGTCTTTGTGTTACTTTATTGTATTGTAATCCACCTTGTGTCTTTGTATTATGCATGACAACCAGTAACGGCCACGGAAATGTAATGTAATGAAATGAAATGAAATGGGGTTTAACGTGCCACTGTTCTGCTCCGAACTGGGCTAATGAAAATGGGCATATGCCATACATTGTGCTATGAGGGAAATGTTGCCCGGACAGAGGCACTACGGCCTACTCTTATATCGAATTCCAACTGTCAAGGGATCTTTTACGTGTATGCCAATGTGTACACGGGACCTCGGTTTTTCGTCCCATCCGAACGAGTAGACAGCTGTCCTTGTTAGGCCCTTTGTCCGGCATCAATGACAAGGGGAAACCACGCCGGAAAATCTGGATGAACTTTCTCGGCCAATGCAGGGATCGAACACCCGACCTCCAGGCTAGCAAGCCAGCGTCTTACCCATTTAGCCACCGTAAAAAACTACTTGCATGATTTAAAGGCTAGGAAATGCCAAACTTTTCTAATTATTATATTGTTTATATGTTAATTTTCTGAAAAATAAGAATATCTTTAATTGACGTCCGTGTGCACAATTAAGCGATAGGAGCGTGCACCACTCTGCAAATAAATTACATCGATCATGTGACTTGTACAAAATGGAGAATCGGAAGTGAAGGCAGCCGTTTTTAGATCATGGGACATCAGGCTATAGACCGCAAATCTAGCGTTTAGTAACCTACAAGTGAAACCTATCCTTAGTCCAAATATTGTTGTTTGTGAATAGGGTGTATAAAATGTCCTACGATGGGATATCGCGGGGCTGTTATGAATTGTGTGCCATCGAAATGAAATGAAATGGGATTTAACGCCATAGCGTTCTGCTCCGATTAGACTAAGGAAACCATACTCTTGTATCTGATTCCAACTTCCAAGTGATTTATTATGTGCACACCAATGTGTCCACGGGACCTCGGATGTTCGTGCCATCCGAACGACTATACGTAGTATCTGGGAAATTAAGTGTCAAAGTTTATTAAACTTTTTGCATCATCAAAATATTCCTTTGTTTCAGACCAATACTATTGGAAGTATGGGAAAGTTACAATTCGATGACCACGGTTATCCAGTTGGACTCAAATTCATTGTCTGCAGTTTTCATAATATGGACCCAGACAAATTTAAGAACATAGGTTACTGGGCATCCGGGACTGGTTTAATGCTTGTAGACTCGACTGTTTATCAAAATATTTTCACAGATTTTGGTAATCGAACATTAGTGATTGGAGCTTTACCAGTAAGTAGGTTGGTTTTGTACGACTATTTCGATCGTTTCCGGATTATGTTGTCCTCGAAACACACCACCCCACAAGTGAATTATTAAAAATTGATACACCATATTCAAGTCATTTACTTTATCCGTCTTGATTGTCGTATAGCATATTTATAGAATTTAACGTCATCATATATTACTCGGAAAAAGGGGCGCTTTCTCATCCTCATGGGTTAACTCCGGGTACTCCGGTTTCCTCCCACAGGATAAACGTCTGCGCATGCTCTATGATAATAAGACAACTTCTCTGCGATATCACGCTTGGTGGAGCCAGACAGTAAACACTAAGAACAACATCATTCATTATTATATGAAAACAGGATATCCGAAATACACAACTCCACAAACAGGTCTTGTGTAAATTTTAATTGACTTCAACTAAACTACTTCCGGTTCATCTTGAACCCTGGGTCATTCCAGATCGGTCAGTGTTTTGTTCAGAGGCCGTCGCAAACCGATCAGAAGAATATATTCGGATGGTAGCTACTATCACAGAGATCGGGGAGAGTTTATTAGCTCTCAATGTTAACTTCTACAAATTAATTTATTCTAAATTATTTTCAAAAATATATGTGTTGGAACTATATCTAGATGACAAATATTTCTTATTTAGTGTAAATGATACTGTACGTAAAAAAGTACCTTGCCAGGCCCTCTGTCCTGCACCATTGACAAGGAGAAACCACGTCAGAAAATCCCGATGACTTTTCTCGGTGAACGCAAGGATCGAACATGGGATCCCTGGGTTAGCGAGCCAACGTCTTACTTACTGAGTTACATCTTGACACTATCTGATTAAAACACAGATCCTATTTCGTTTCGTTATTATAGTTCAAAATTTCGTTTAACTTGTCTTTAATACACTAGGATCTGGAAGAGTTGTTATCATTGACGTGTTCTGAAGGACGTGCGGGAATAGCTAATGAAACGGTCTGTTACGGCGAGCTTTAGGCGTGTTTTGCACGGAACTGTGGGTAATCCACTAGTAACATCAATGCTGATTGGTTAATCAAATGTCTGACGTCATAGGGTCAAAAGTTGCTCGTATGGCCTCTGACGCGAACTATCGCTACAACCGGTCAGATCTTCATGTAGTATAAAAAAACGAAACGAAATATAGATCTGTATTTTACTCAGAATGATCTTGACAGACCAATCAAACCCTCGTTTAAAAGTTATAAGTTCAACAGATGCAGAGTTTTTATTTTTCTATTTTAGGCTGAACCTTTCAACATGAAGACTACAGTGGGTAATATAACAAAATGGGAAGGTTTCTGTATAGATATTCTGAACGAAATGGCGGAAAAATTTAATTTCCAGTACGTATATTTTCGTTTAAGAATTCACACAAAAGAATTTACGAATTTGTATGTACATGTATATCTATGTTTTAATTGTTGATGTTTGTGTCGTAATACGTGTTGTTTATGTATTTGTAAGTTTTGTATATAAAACGTATTGAATCACTGGCTATTGGATAATAGTCGACCTATAAAATGAAATGAACTGGGATGGTTGGTGTGTGTGTGTGTGTGGGCGGGGGGAGGGGAGGGTAACGTCTTACTAATCCACGCCAACGTGGGCTAATGAATGAAGTCGGGGATACGCCACGAAATGAGGTATGAGGAAACTTTTGCCCTGACTGAGGCGCTACGGTGTACTCCAATTGTCTCGGGGTCGTCGAAGTGCTGCCAATGATTTACTCGGGACTTTCTAAGCGAACGACCAGGGGTGTCTTTCAGCTGGACAACATGGCTGGCAAATACCAAAGAACGTCCTCGGCCAATATCAGTATAGATCCCACGATACCCGGATTAGTTAGCTGGTGTTATGATCTCTGAAGCAGCGCGACCCTCGTCATGTTCCCGAAGCACCGTTTTCCACCTCATGTTCCTGAAGCACAGTGGTCCACCTCATGTTCCTGAGGCTACGTGGTTCTCCTAGTGTTCCTCAAACAACGACCGGGAGTTTTACATCTAGACGTTGCTAGACTGGTCTGCAATTCCCGAACTTATAGCTACGTTATCTCCCTTGATCGAGGACACGAGAACAGTAGGTTGTGACAAATCAAGCATGGCGACCTCAACGGAAGCCTTGACATTGAATGAACCATGAACTTTGCCGCTTGATTATCAGAGGTAGACATATTAGCTGGAAAGCGCGGATCAGTTGCCAATCGCAATTAGTGCTGAAATATGCAGGGTAATACGCGAAGGCCTTCATAAGATGTACGGAGTTAAAAGCGAGATCAAGTGTTATATTTGCGATATGCAAAGGCGCATAACAGAACATTTAATTCTGCATATCTAGAAAATACATAAGCGTCTATAATTGAATCAACATTTGTGGCCAAATATTGAATTTGTTTGCCTTGTACACAAATATCCACACTTTCAATTATGATGGATAAACGTAGGAAGGAATTCTAGTTGTTATCACTGAAGGTTGTATGTTAGCCTTCTGGTTAGAATCAATCGTCATGTTCTAATCTTGTCAATTCTTTGTTATAGTTATGTTATTTCTGAACCTGCTGATCGAATCTGGGGTTCACCGGTTGAGGATGGGACGTGGAATGGAATAGTTGGACAGGTTGTTAAAGGGGTAAACACAACTTTATTGATTTACAACTTAGTTTATTACATGCAACCTTTCAATACTCTTACGATCATCATTATCAATTAATTTTACTTTATTAGTTTAAACAGAAAGATACAAGTTTTATATTTAAAATTTAACATAAAAATACGTCTTTGTAATATAAAATGTTTAAACATTTATGTGAAAACTAGGCATTGCTGTGACCTGTAATAAATTGTAGATTGGGGACTACTCCTCGGTATATTTGATGCCTTTGTGACGTTTTAAATTCTACCCGTCTTTATTAGTCCACTCGGGACAGAACAGTAGCAGGTTAAACACCATTACATTTCATTTTTAAATTCTATTTTATATCAGAACTATGCCTTTGGAGTTGGGCCATTTACTATTACGTCTGTGAGAGAAGCAGTGATAGATTTTACAAAGCCATATATGGAAGAAGGTATTGGGATCCTTATCAGAAAACCTAACAGTGAATCCAAGAAAATGTTTAAAATGTTCATACCATTTGCACCGGAAGTGTGGGGCTGTATAGTAGCGGGAGTTATCGCCGTTGGTGTATTGTTGTATATAGTGAATAGAATTACGCCCTACTCCAACCATAAATTATACAGTAAAACGGATCAGATGATGTTGAAGGAGAGTATTTGGTTGGTTTATGGGAGTTACATGGAACAAGGTAGGACATAATTACTTTGATGAGAGGGACAGTGAAATGGTGTTTATAATTTGTGGAAAAGTGTGTCTTGTATTGGGGTCATTTACACATCACCCTTCGATTAAGGTGAAAAAGACACCACCCTTTCACTTAGGTGAAAAGGACACCACACTTTCATTAAGGTTAAAACGGCACAACCATTTGATTAAAGTGAAAAAGACAGCATCCTTTCATTAAGGTAATAAGACAATTCCCTTTGATTAAAGATGAACAAGACACCACCATTTCATTTAGTGATAAAGATACCACTCTGTAGCTAACCAGGGGGTTTCGTGTTCGATTCTTGTGTTGACCGAGAACATTCGTGCACGTAAAAGTAGGTCCTAGCGCCGCTGTCCGGGCAAACTTCGCCTAATAGCACACTGTATGACGTATGCCCGTCTTCATTAGCCCTGCCGGAGCAGAACAGTAAGACGTTAAACCCCATTTAATTTCTATTTTCTATATTTTTTAGGTGGTGACCCGCAACCAAAGAGTATATCTGGTCGACTTATTTTAGGCTTCTGGTGGCTGTTCACTATTTTAATGACCTCTACCTACACAGCTAATTTAGCTGCCTTCCTTACAGTAACTATAGCTGAGAAACCTATCAACAGTTTAACAGAATTATCAGAACAGAGTGACATTCTTCCACTCGCCAAATATGGTTCCAATCTATATACTTTATTTAAGGTAAGAAACAGTTGACCAAGCTTGACGTGGATTATCTGCATATTGTATATGAGGCACGGCTGGTCCTAAGTGTTAGAAACATGGGTTGGGTGGTCAGTCCATATACTTTATTTGAGGTATAATTGGTTAGTTGGTCTCTAGTGTTTGGCAAAGGGTGTAGAATGTATTATCCATATACTTTATTTTGGGTCAGTTGGTCCTGAGTGTTTGGGAAATGGGTTGGGATGTAGTCCATCTATATAATATATTTGAGGTACAGCTTGATCTAAGTATTAGGAACTCAGTGTGGCAGCGGTACATCTGTAAACTTGGTTTGAGGTACATTTTGTTTGGCGGTCCATCTTCCGAGGTAAGGTGTAGGTCCCTACTTAATTCTTGGTCTCCACTATCACGACTCGTGCTACGATTGGAATCGTAGTTTTAATCCTGGAGTAATCGTAGATCGGGTCTTATTATATATTGAGGTCAGCGTAGCAATCGTGTTGACCGTATCGAAACGTATCTGAACGTATCTGCAAGTAGCAGATCGTGGACGTAATAGCGACAAACCTATCGTAACTATCGCACGACAGTGGGAACCTTACAAAAACTACAATATTGTAAGAATTCAACATTTTCATGTGGCTAGAACTATAATTCTACTTCAAATTGTAGCTTTTTATCTAATCAAAGGGCAACATTATTAAAATATTTCAGTTAAAGTACCCGGCTTCAGAAACTGACCAAAGGAGTGATGGTTTATGTTTTCGTTTTGTTGAAAATGCACTGATCTGAAATATTGCCTGATATGAAATCTTGTCTCCAGTAACACAATTATTCCCCGCCGATGTTACCATACATAACTACTTTCACTTGCAGGAAGCGAATGGTGGAATTTACCAAGATGTATGGAACATGATGGGTAACATGCCAAGAATAACAAATAATCAAGACGCCCGTAAATTGGTAGAACAGGGTTTTACAGCTTTTATGACCGATAGATCACAGTTAGAATATATCGTTTTAAATGACTGTGAGACCTATTCACTGGCCGATGAATCCTTTAATACAGCCGGTCTAGGTTTTATCATGCCAGAAAATGCAGTATTTAGTGATGCCTTTAATTATCAGTAAGTCAATTAGTTTTATTTATGGATTTAATCTTGGTTCAATGTTATGCTTTATAGCGTCCGTACTATCAAGACCAGTTTTCTTGTAAGGAAAAGCCTTCGTCTCTCCTTGTTCTTCTCTGCTAATGTAACGTAATAATCTCTCCTAATGTAAAAGCTCTCCTAATGTAAGGTCTGATCTCTCCTAATGTACAGGCGTGATCTCTCTTAATCTATGGATTTGATGTCTGCTCGTGTATAGGCGTGATCTCCTTGAATGTAAGGACTTGACCTCTCCTATGTAAGGGCTGAATCTCCCCTAACGTAAAAGCTACATCCACCCTGTAATGTAAAAGTTACATCCACTCCAATGTAAAAGCTACATCCACCCTAATGTAAAAGCTACATACAACCTAATGTAAAAGCTACATACACCCTAATGTAAAAGCTACATCCTAACGTAAAAGCTACATCCGCTCTAATGTAAAAGCTACATCCGCCTTAATGTAAAAGCCACATCCACCCTAGTGTAAAAGCTACATCCATCCTAATGTAAAAGCTACATCCACCCTGATGTAAAAGCTACATCCACCCTAATGTAAAAGCTACACCCATCATAATGTAAAAGCTACATCCATCCTAATGTAAAAGCTACATCCACCAAAATGTAAAAGCTACATCCACCCTAACGTAAAAGCTACACCCACCCTAATGTAACAGCTACATCCACCAAAATGTAAAAGCTACATCCACCCTAATGTAAAAGCGACACCCCTTCTAATGTAAAGACCACGTCCCTCATAATATAAAGAATTCGCATTTATTCTAAGAAATTAAAAGAATTATCTAAAGATTTTTTGTTGTTCTTACCTATTTTAACATTCCCTTACAGTGATACGATAAGTTTGTGTTGACACCCATGGCTATTGGTGATGCCATCTCTAAACACTTTCCATTAATGTAATATAACGTATAAAAAATAGAGGAATGTGTGAAATATAGTACAACCATTCCTAAAGCGTAATCAGTTCAGATTCCATAAATACATACCGATTAAAATAAAGGTAATGGAATACAGACTTGCCCCATGGGGATGTGTCAATGTAACAGCATTGCGCTCCTAAGAACAAGTAATAACCTGGCATTCGCGTGGCAAAATTATATCGGGTGTTTCAAAAAGCGTAAGGATATTCTAACGCAGGCGCGTCTACCCGCCACTGTTCCAAATCAGACATACAAAGTCCTGTTATGAACGTAAAATAATGACAAAGAGATAAAAGTTATTGAAGTCGTGTTTAAAAAATAGAAACCTTTTAGAATATAAAGACTATTTTTGTTCTGCGGGGTTTTAAAAATATAGTAAAAGTGGTAAACATTATTTTTATATTGCGGGGTTATTAAAGCTTTTAAATTATTGAAGATTTTTAAATCCGAGAATTTTTTTTAGTATCCTTCTAAAATAAATAGACTATTTTTTATATTGCGGAGGATAAAATTGTTCTTAAAAGCGGTAAAAAATATTTTTGTACATCGGAGTGGGAGTTTGCGCCCCAATTTGATATCTAGGTAAACGGATAACATTTATCATTTAACAAAATATAGCATTCTTTTGAGTTAATGGTGTTTTTACGAAACATTTAACAAACATTCGTCATTAACTTTAATCTAGAAACTTGCTGAACAAATATTGATATTGATTAATTAATCAACCATTTAATAGGGCACGATCAACAATTGACAATTTATTTATTTGTTTCTATTTGTGCCTTAAAAAAATGTATTAGGGTTGAAGTTATGAGCTCTTGATGTATGGCCCACATCTTTCGTTATTCATCCATGGGTGCCGTAGTTGCTCATCGAATAACTCAGCGCCTCACATACCACAAGATTCCGTGTTGATTGAATAAGCCGGGCCCCGAATTCACAAAGCATTCTCAGACTTAGTTAAACATACAGATGCAAGAGCTACATCTGCCTATCGCATGACTTTTTAGGCCTGAAATCATATATAAACTATTAATTAGATATTTATTAACATCACAAGACCATAATCAACTCTTGATGCCATCTGATGCTTCCGATCTTCATTAGATTTGAATCCGATCTACCGTTCAACAGCCATTGATAAAAACACAAAAATGGATAAACGAGACCTTTTTATTTTCGTCACAAAGCAACAATGACAATCGAGGCTACATGGTTTTTAAAATGAGTATTTCTCGATTTAAAGTGACGCAGTTTGACTGCAATTTTCAGAATATTACCGTTATTCTCTTTACATTATCTATTATTTAACTATTATAGTGAGAACTGTCATAATGTATCTTTAAGATCTTTGATCCAGAAACACAAAACATTGCACATAGTTTCTTATTTATGTATTTGATACATTATAACAACAAAAGTTTTATAAAGGGCTATGTTGTAGTTAAAATAAGGTGAACAATTTTGAGTAAATTCTTAACTTTAAGCCTGAGGATGCTTTGTGAACTTGGTCAATAATGCTAGCCGTTTAGATGATGTGTACGAACCCTAGGTGGTAAAACAGCTGTTCGGGTAAAATCTCTCGTATACCACATCATATGACGTATGCCCGTCGTGATAACCCGGCTGGTGTTGAAAAGTTGGATATAATCCACAATACAAATCATTTCATCGCCCATTTTAAGAACATTGCCAGTAAGAATGGAAGATGTTGATCATTGCCAGGAATGATGGGAGATGTTGATCACGTGGAACAGTTCGCTTCCATTCGAAGTGTCAGGAAGTAACATTTGTTATTGCTACTTGCAGCGCCCCCCCCCCACACACACACACATCTTCTGGAACAGATAGACCTTTGCAAATACACCATTCAAGTTTCTCTCGTATGGAGAAGAATGTTGGGAGAATCTTAGGTTATACTAGGAGGCAGGGAGATGAAAAGTTTCATGAGTATGATTTCATACCGTGGGGCAGATGGTTTTATGAATGTGATTTCATACCGTGGGGCAGATGGTTTTATGAATGTCAGTCATATGTGAGATATAATTATAAAACACTGGAATACTGCGAACTTTGACTTCTTCAAATCCCAAATTATTAGTATTATTAAATAATGTTATTATTACTGCCAGGGAAATAAAATTATATACGGTGCTTATGGACCTAACAAAAATAGCAGATTGGAATTATTCACGCTGTTTAAAATAAAAGTGTTTACATCAACACTTGCGTTATTATTGATTTCAGTCTATTATCTATCATGTGGATCATGTCGTTGTTAAGTAAAGGGTCGAAAAAAAACCCCAACCCAGTACACTTGTCTTTAAAGACCTATACATATGGAATACCCCAATTGAACTTCATCAAAGCGTTTTTACATGGCATAGTTTATATATTATGGAAGTATAACGTTGCCAATATTATTTCAATGTTCACTGTACAACCTGCATATGTCAGTAGTTCAAAATATGTATTTTAGTTTTACAATTTGCAATTTACATTGCTCCACAATGCCACAGTGTTAAAATATATAATACACTTTTCAATAATACAAAATACAGTATGATAGTTATTTTTCACATTACACTTCTCCATTTTGCATTTTGCATCTGAGTTTCTCCTTCATTCGTTTCCTAACTTTCCACACATTTCAAATCCCAAATGTAGAAAGATCTCTTGTTACTGAAATATGATTTCATGAAACCTGTTCACGAATGTTGTATGCTTCATTCTTGTTTTATTGCGCAATTTTAATATTATTAATTATTGTCAGCCACGTTAAAGGAGAAATCCAGGTTTTTCTGAAATATATATTTAAAAAATGTGACCTTTTAAGAATTTAAATCAAATTCCCAAATTTTAAGAAATAATCTATTTACATTGTCGAAAAAATCTTCAGCTCAAAATAAAATGTAACACTCTAGTCTCGAGATGCATGTGGTGGGGGGTGGCCGACCATAATTAGCCGTTTTGAAACGCCAGATATTACTGTGCTATGGATAGGCTTCTTAAAGAACGTTCCCCGACAAGGTTTATATGTTTGATAAAGACTTGTGAAATCTTGTTGAAACCATACATGTAAATAGTGTGTTATTTTCCAATTTATAAATGACAGTCAGTTCAGGTAATAATAACGTACACGGCTTTGCCGGTTTGTATTAATAGACTTTAAGATCGATTTTACTTTTAGACCAGGAACTATGCCCTCATCTTGCTCTTTTTCTGAATTGGAGTGGTGCACTTCGAAAAAAGCCTAAGGCTCCAACAATTCCCGTTCCTTTGCCCATAGTGCATCGTTTCACAGACTGGTATTTGTTTCTGCAATTCCAAGATGGCGACGATGACGTCATGTCCGGTTCCTGATCCATACTACGCTCATACTTCTTAATATGTATTTCATGTATAACGATTTTAGTACTTCCTGTATTTCTAGTATAATGAAGATGCAGGAAGCAGGATTAATAGACAAATGGAAACAGAAATGGTGGCCAAGTTCCGATCAGTGTTCCGGATCCGACAGAACAAGTCAAGCACAGACTTTAGGTCTAGAGAGTTTAGCCGGCCCTTTCTTCATTTTTCTCTCAGTGGCCGGAAGTGCCGGCATATTGCTTTTAATTGAACTAGTCTATTATTCTAAAGGGTTTGTTGGATTGACTAAATGTTTGAAAATCAGCGGAAATCAAGAGCCACCAGAAAACGAAAAAGAATAATTTTGAACGGTCGTAACACGCAAGGCAGCCTAACTTCCCATCAAAACATACAACAAACAGTGCACTAAAATAGCAAAATGTAAGAACGAAGCAATTGCAAGCTGTTAATTAAAACAAACGCAGCACTCTTCACGGTTGATCTCAATGACATTATCTTTAGTTTCTAGTTAACTTTAAGATAATGTATTTAATCAACCAGGAATATGCCATGACTTCCCATTTGCCTTACCGGAAGTTGGACTTAGTATGTTTGATTAATAAATTGCCTTACCGGAAGTTTGAATAATAAATAAATATATCACGTAATGTTTAATGAGTGCTATCTCGCGGATGTTCACATTAGCTTCCATTATAACTCTTCGAACATTTTATGATTCCGTTTAGTGTTGATACGAATAATTTAAGTAGTTTATTTATGGTTATTTCTCGATTAAGGAGATGTGGACGATCAGATCATGCGACACCGTATTTAATTAATGATTTTGTACAAATATAAATGTGTGTTTGAATTTAAAGGAAGATAATCGGCACCATATATCGTAAATTGTATTGAAATAGATTATATAGATAATCAAAATGTAAATATGTTAATTTAATAAATAGTGATTCATAAAATGAAACAAACATGAAACGGGTTTTACCTTTCTGCACCTATCGGGCTAATGAAGATGGCATCCGGCATGGCATGGCCATGAAATGTGTTATATGAGAGGGAGAGAGAGAGAGAGAGAGAGAGAGGGGCGATGGGGGGGGGGAGACAATCTCTACTGCTGGTGAGCTATATCTAATATGTTAGGTGACCAGTATTGGTGAACTGACACAAAGATCGTTTGGAAAGAACTTACTGATTAGTGAAGGAATTCCTGCCAAGGTTCTACCGACCTGTTAGTAGTGTCTTTCCTATGAAGCTGTCACGCAAAATCGCCAGGAATCTCCGAAAATTTTCGTGCAGGGGTCTTTAGCAGTCGGGGAAAATTGAATGGGCAATAGACCAATATTATTAAAATACAGATCTATATTTCGTTTCGTCTTTTTATACTTTCGATGGCCTACACTACATGAAGATCTGACCAGTTGTACTGGAAGGTCGCGTCAGGGATCGTACGAGCAACTTTTGACCCTATGACATCGGACATGGATTAATCAATCAGCGCTGACGTTTCTAGTGGTTTACCCACAGTCCCGTGCATCCCTCGCCAAGGAGTCGCCGTAACAGATGGTTTCATTGGCTAATCCCTCACGCCATCGAAAACGCGGGTTATTTAACATCTCTTCCAGATCCTAGTGTAGTAAAGACAAGTAAGACTATAAAAAACGAAATAGGATCTGTGTTTTAATCAGATTGTAACACCGACAAGCTTGGGATGGAAACCACGCCACTTTACTTAATGACGTATCTTATGATTTAAACTGCACGCGTTAGACCACTCACTCAACTCCCAATTGTGTCCTTGACAGCGGCGCTACGATCTACTCCTATACCTATTCAAATACCGGAGGATGTTAAACGTCCTGTCAGTGGTATACATGGGGTGTCCTGGTCGAGCCATCAGCCCAGCACCAGTGGCAAGAAACCGCGGGTTGTAAAATCGCAGGGAAAAGTTTTAATCATCACCGGGGTGAAACCTATAGGACTTTCTGGATAGTGCACAAGTGCAATACCATCGCAAAGTACATAGAAGCTAATTTATCTAGCAGTGAAGAGTAAACACAGAGATAGGACAACAAATCGATGTACATCACATTTGAAAAGAAGACAGGTCGTAGATATAAATAAATATAAAAAAAAACATATATAAATTAGCCGAGATAACTGTTGTTGTATATGAGAAATAGTTGGGTTATTAACTCTTTGTATTTATCCCCTGTTTTGTCAAGTAATGTTTGTTTTTATGTTGAAGCAATGATTGAGAAAGCATGTCAGATAATACCCGATAGATTGACGTACATTGATTTATATAGTTCTCACTTTCTTCTTAAAAACAAAAACCTCGTCTCCTCTTTCAACTCTCACTAAATCAATCAATTATTTACAAAATAATAACAACTCAAGCCATGGAGGTGATTAGTTTTATTGCGTATTATCACAGACAAATTGACATCATTTAGCCTAGTTCTGCGTCACTACCCCCCTGTGTGTTTTGATATTTCTGAACTTGAACATCGAGATCTTCTCTTTCTCTCATTATGACAAGCAGGCAACATGACGGAGAGATTTTACACCAGGCATTTAGGCAATGCAACTTTCGTGATAAGCCAATAATGAATGTGGTCCATATAGGCAGTGCCTCCGTGAGAGTTTTCCCCGACACAGATCTGCAGTTGCCCTCCAATGTTGTAATTGTATACATTTAATATTAATGTGTTGCATCCATGTTGGATGAAAAACGAGGGTTTGGATGGTCGAATGGTTCGCGCGTGTGCGTTGTGTCATAAGGTCTGTCATTGAGCCAACTGGCGTGGTTTTGATTCCCGGTTGTACATGACAAGGAGTAAGGTTGCCTGTTTAACCTCGTGGGTTTTCTTCAGGTCCTCCGGATTCCTCCCACTGCTAAAGACCCCTATACGAAAACAAATTATTGAAATAAAATTGAACCATATGTTAGTCCTGAAATGACCTAGTCTGGATGTAAAACCTTTCAAATGTTCTTGAGTGACCTTGTCATAGCCGAAATGCATATAATGCATCGTCACAGAACAACTAAAGATACACCAGTTACTCCGTCCAGGTAGTATCATTACAGGTGGGGGAGGGGGGGCTGGATGGCCGAATGGTTAGTACGTGCCCGCTGTATCGTAAAGTGTTTCATTGAGTCAACTGGCGTGGTTTCGAATCCCCGGTTGTACGTGACAAGGAGTAGGGTCGCCTGTCCGACCTCGTGGGTTTTCTCTGGGTCCTCCGGTTTCCTCCCAGCGATAAAGACCCCTACGCGCAAGCGAATAAATAAATATAAAACCCCATCTTAGTCCCGAAATGACCTAGTTTGTGTCGAGTGGACGTTAAACACCATCTCTCTCTCTCTCCCTCATTACAGGTAAATCCTGCTGAAGTTTTATAATACTGGTTATTTATAGTATAATAAAACAAAGACTGAGAGAGAGAGAGAGAGAGAGAGAGAGAGAGGGAGAGAGAAGAGGAGAGAGAAAGAGAGAGAGAGAGTATGTCATTTTAGAACTAGCATATGGTTCAATATTTTTTTAATAATGCAGTTGTCCGTAGGGGTATTTAGCGGTTAGAGGAAATGGAAGGACTAGGAGAAATCCCACCAGGTTGTCACGTGCAAGCAGAGAATCGAAAGCACCCAACTTATCTCAACGACAGATCTTGTCATTGTGTACGCGCACGTGTTCACCCACCAGAGATTACCCCCCCACCCAAAAAAAAATAAAAAAATAATAAAACAACAATAGTAACCAAACAATTGCAGAAACATGGGTATTTATAGATCAAACAGAAAGGACAGTGTTTTATGACGGAATCAACAACGCTAATCTTAATGATCCAACTCTTGCTTTAATGTATGGATCAATATCGAAATCCGAACCTAAACTGGACCCACAGTATTCATTATTAACGATATTCCCTATTATTGATTATTATGGTCAATAATTCTAAAATAGGTTTTTAACCCACCAATAAATATAATATACATATAGTAGAGATAAAACAAGAGCCATTTAATCTATAATTCGTTTTGGCAATAAAATATTTAATAATAGATATATATCAATGCCCGATAATGAAATCTAAATGAGTATAATGCATACGATCCAATCTGCTTATGATAAAATGACAAAATAATGGTCATAATATTACTGCTTCTCTAACAATTATTGTTAAATGTAAACTCGCATCAGTTAGGCGGGGAAAAAATCAAGCAATAAGATCAGATCATTTTGTAATGCCGTTTTATTTATAGCAAATCCATATACTTTTCAGTTCTGTTTTTTTTTTCAGTATGCTATGGTTTGTCTTCAATAAATGAGAGAGAGAGAGAGAGAGAGAGAGAGAGAGAGATTTAACGTCCACTCGATAAGAACTACGTCCTGTAGGGACTATCACATGGTTCAATTCCATTTCAATAATTCGCTTAGCCGTAGGGGTATGTAGCTGTGGGAGGAAACCTGACGACCGGGAGAAAACCCACGAGGTTGGACAGGCGACCGGGGAATAGCCATAATAAAACGTTTTAGACCAAAAGGAATGACAGGTGCGTCTTATATACTCACTGCGGCACCTCAATTTAATAATTTCAACATATTTGATGGCTGGAAATACGAAACGGTACAATAATACATCTATTACATCCTCGTAGACATAATGGAATTATTGAGATTGCGATATAACAGGGAGTGCCTGTTTTTGGAGGCTATGTCCAGTACTAAGGGGTGAAGCAAGAAACGAGTTCAAGCAGATGTTTCCAACAATAATCCATTAGTTAATCGAATAATCTTTATTACTTCTTGTATCAAGTGATATTCAAATTGATGAACATGCGGATAACACTATACTAAGATGCTTAACATGATAAAACTGATATATGTCGATATAAAAACCACATATTCATTTGTCACATACACGTGCTATTAAATTATTCAATATATTTAATGAGAAAAAAGTGACATTAGATAATAGAGATAGTAGATATTGATGAATCCGAATCGAAACACGTAGAGTTAACTCCCTTTTTTTCACGGTGTATATGACAAGATAAATATGTTTAATAGGTTAATGAGAAGACGTGATTAAGATATATAAGATGATATAGAAACCATTAGTGCTAGTCTTGATACATAGATATAGATAGATATCCAGATACTTGAAGGTTATCTATATACCATATCAATCTAATCCCCCTTTTCCTCGGTTCTTATTAAAATTTTGATCATATCATGACCTATAGGCTACCTTTAAGTGTCAATTGGGACGTTCACAACCTTAAGATTTAATTTCAGGGATACATTTGGCATCTAAAAGTTTGTAGGTCAGACGAAACATTTAATGGCTGTGTAGCTCACTGCAAACGATGTCAATAGCCTTTACTATTGAATAGACAATCTTGGTATAAAAAACAAACACCTACTTAAAGATACATTATTTAAGATTTAGATTAAGAGTGGCCATTCTTACTATAATAGTTCGACAATAGATAATACAAAATGAATTTATTAACAATGTCATTCAAATTGCTCCATTGCGAGCGAAGATATTAGCTTTTTAAGGTTTGACAAGATGTGTGCATTAATTGCAACCACAGCACTGGTTGTTCGGAGCTTGGCCTCGCATAAGCATTTTTAGATTAAATCAAAATATGGCTGAATCGCTCTAATCTACTTAATATCAGAAGTATCCGATGACACCAGGCCTTAAGAAAGACCCGCAATAGGCTGATTTAGCTCTTGCATAGTGTATGTTTAACCATATTAACAGGCTTCCAAACGTAATGAATATATACACATGTGATAAACGATTCCCTTGATGAAAGTAATTTGTTCAATACGGACCAAATACTTGCTTTTGACAATGGAGTGCAGTATATATGTACCTTGATCTCCAGGAAAACCAAAATACACAACCACTTGTATGCGTTAAGAAAAGTACTATATTGCCAAGTGTTGAGAACTAGAATAATTGTTCCCTGTAAAATAGGACTAACAAGATTACAGGGTACAATGAGTAATTTAGACACGACAGCTATGTTTCCCTCTAGTCCACATGGAACCCCATTTGTAATGGGCTATAGTAAGGTCTAGCCAACACTTCCTGATTAGTTTTACCCTGACAAGCGGGAATTCCAAGTATCTTCTCCGCCAACTTCACGATTCTAACTCGTGATATTCTGTATGGGGATATGGTACCTTTACCACCCGACCACCGAAACACCCCCGATTTAATCTTCCAGGTCTGTCTTTGATTACCGTCACGATTTGTCCCGTCATACTAAACTTAGCCTGCTCCGGTAGAGCACAGACACTAAGTTGGTTGGCCGACATTTTAAGTCATATATCGACGAGTATAGTCGAAAACATTAAGAATTGTGTAAACTGTTGATGCTGCTGCCATTTAAACTTGAAAAAGTTTAATAATTAGTATAATCATGTTTGAAAATGGCGACCTTTTAGGGCAAAGATCTATTCTCGAAGTTTAAAGTAGATAGTTCTCTTTGTATGTAGACTTCAGTAGCTATATATGTGTTTACACTTGCCTCATACTCTCAATTATGTAACATCAGCATTAATGATAGCAGCCGACGTCTTTGAAAAATGCTTAAAAATGATTTTTATGGTTCAGTGTTCGTATGTTCGCATGCTCATTATCTAATTCAACAATTTTCTTGTTTTAATTTTTTGTTGCTTTGGAAAGCTCACATAACTAACGTTCTTTCCTGGAGTTTTACGTCCACTTCCACCTTGGGTGATATCGCAGACAAGCATACATAGCTAACAGTTTCTCTATACTATTTATATATCACCTGTAATGGGAGTTGTGCTAGCGCCAACTGGTTGGCAGGTATATTTACCTGTGACTATAGTCTCTGAAGAGCAATCAACTATATTGATATTTCTGCCGTCCATTATAGAAATATTCCAATTACCACGAGGTGTGTTTATATAGAGAATTATAAAATGGTATACACAGAGATATATACACAGGTAAATATGAGTTTTAATACAACTTTAACATTAAATAATATCTATGTAGGTTCGATAAGGGCTGGAGCTAGTGTATACCTTCTTTATAGAACTAGAATATCATTATAATCCTTGAGTGGCATTTAGCGGTTGAACACATTAAAAACACAACACAGTTTATATGGATATACAATCACTGTTTTATTGGCATAGCACGACGTTTCGACAAGTATTTTCTTATCGTTATCAAGCACAAATGATGTGTTGTGTTGTGTTGTGTTTTTTAGAATATCATTTGTGTATTTATCAATTTAAAGACGCAGCGAGTCTATGTATGTTATTAAGTAGCCTCAAACCATGTTAATTTCTAAATATACATATGCATTTCAAAATCTAAATATGTGAGCTCTGTAAAATGTATTATCCTCGAATATAATCGCGTTTTTTTATCTCTGATTTACGTCCCTTACTATAAAGAAAAGCCATTGTTTTGAAAACTTGGTTGTTAAAAATGCGTTTTCCAACGCGTGTTGGAGAAAAACAGTGATCTGTAGACAGATTTGATATGCAAGGATTAAAACGGGAATGGATTTGATTATACTTAGTAAAAATATTACTACTTAAAATGAAATGAAATGAAGACGGGTTGCTATTTTAAGGGAAAGTCATCATTCATATACGATACGCACATGTTGTACAAAACAAGATATTGGATTTCAATCTTTATTTGGATTACACAATAATTAATAATCCATCATTCGGCATACGGGAAATAAATCAATTGGCATGCAACAAACACGTGTATACGTGTAATATACCTTAGCACCTAGGACTGTCCATAATTTTACATTTTCATCGCCCTCTTTAATTCTTTCAGCGATTGTGGCGTCATCTGGCGTAGTGAGGAGATTGACCTAGAACAACTGGATATATGGATAAGTTCGGTATGTATCCGGAGATTGACGGGTATTACCGGAGATGAACAATGATAACATTGAAAGGAAAATGAGGAGCAGCAGAGATTTTAATCTTACAATAAGAAAGTCATATTATACTGATTTCAATAGTAAAATAAATCCACTTGGAGACTAATGAGGACGACAAGGATTCTAGAGAACAGGACGAGCTCGAATTACACGTGTAGAGGTGTAAAGAATTTAATGTAGAATCTTATACATATATATTAATACATAAAGTGGTTAGGTACATCTGTGATATCACCCGTGTTCCTGATATACGTACATAATGTGCTTGAAGTATATAGACAGCTATTAATGATGAAGTGAAGGACACTCGACTGAAGGATGTCACTGTTACCTGTGTTGATTATATTGACTTGCTTTTCATGTTGTCTTACATCAAATATAGGTAAGTACAGGTAAATATTTATCTATTAATAGATGCATTTTGAATTTGAAATGTTATCCATTCGATTTGTTTGCATATTCTGGTTTGTGCACACCACCCGTCTTTAATATACACGCGAGTATGACATTGAAACGAAGGCTAGATTATTTTCTAAGCTACATTCATTTCTTCGATGAATGCAGTTTACAGTCAAGAATACAACAACTAAATGTTGAGCTAAAAATTGAATTCAATAGCTGTAAATTAATCTAAAATAATTTATATAGAAAGAAACAAATACAAACAACACAAACGTTGAGGCTGGCAGATTTTATCATCAAGAGATGAAGGTCAGATAATTTTAAAGCTGTATCCGTGTCTTTTATGATCGCAAGAGTAGAAGAAATAAATTTTTAAATATATATTGAATTCCTGTAACTCAATAGCTGTAGATTGATCTAGACTATTTTATATAGAATATAAAACAACATAAACAACACAAGGAATGAAACCAGGAAACAAAACAAAAACTCCGTGGGGAGGCGCAGTAATTGTATGATACATGCACACACTTGATAAATGAATAAAGTACGTATTGTATTCAATCAATAGCGTTTATTGCGTTTAAACACAAGACATCATGTTTTCTCCGATATAATTTTAAATGTTTGCTTGAATAAACATAATGTTAACAATGTACAATGTTTAGTACTTCAAAGGAATAGTGTCCCAACCACGGAACAATAAATGGTCAAATTATGAACATGGGAATATCGAAAGGGAAACACTGTATGCGTCAAATAACGTTATTATTTTATTTATCACCAATCCAGCATTGTCACTGAACATGCGTTTCTTTGTTTCTTGTATAATGGTGTACCTACAATAGGTGTATGACCTACTTATACTGAGTGAACACATCATCATCATACATCATGCATCATACATCATGCATCATACATCATCATTATCATACATCATCATTATCGTCATGTCAATGAGTTTTAATAGTTATCATAGAATTTATAATAATATTCTAAAGATCAAGGAAATACCGTGTCTATATGCATGTTGTACGTACTGATATTTAGAAACAGACAAGGCCCATATATCCAAACAATTATATTTAGAAACAGACGAGGCAATTATACCACGTACCAATATTGTCCGTAATAAACCCACTTTATTTTAGTACGGAACAGACATCAGACATCACACTTGGTATATGCTGATATAGGGGAACAGACACTTAGAAAATAAGTACGCAGACTAACAAACAAGGCTTATGTATACACATGCACTTAATACTTATTCGTACTGATATCGAGCATGATCCATGTATACCTCCTTGGGGAGGTCCAGTTTTACACACACTTATTGAGGAACAGGCATAACCCATGATACATACACACATGATATTGGGGTACAGACAAGGTTGTCGTGGACAGCCACTTGGTACCTACTGATAATTGAGAGCAGACAACACTGTTGGGACAGACACTTAGTACGTACTGATATTGGGGAGAGGACAACGATGTTGTGAACAGACACTTAGTACGTACTGATATTAGGGAGCAGACAACGCTGTTGTGGACAGACACTTATTGGGGAGCAGACAAGTGTCATGTGTACGGACCCATAATAGAGACTTTTGGCAAGCGAAAATTTCTGGTCCGTATCGCGTATCCGTATGGATTTTGCGTGTGACGTAATCAATGTGTGTGTATTTCTCATGTGTGATACGGCACACGGATACGGCAGCACGTATCGAACGGCTTTCATACGGAAAAGGTCCGTATAACATTGCCGTGCCCCTTTACCGTCTTTTTTACTACCTTTAGACGCTGAAATGTTGTATCGTAGCGTTTTCATGGATCTTTGTGTATTCTAGAACACGAAGGTATATATTTGATGTGATTTTAACCATGATGGTTGATCTACGTGCTAAATGTAGGGAGGCGGAACCTTGCAAATCTTTAAATGATTTTATTCTGTGGTAAACGGGTATAAACTTTCTGAAATGATACATTAGTGAAACCAAAAATTGCAGTCGAGTCGAAGTCGAAGATTTTTAATAAGATTCGACATTAATTTTTTTTAATAGCTCAGTGACTGTCGAGCGACTTCATTCCCTCCTGGAAATTGTCGGCTATAATAGGAATTTGACTAGTACTGATGGTGATCTTGGTAGATATCTGCCATCATGCTGTAATAGAACTAAGCTCAGCTGATCGACGCATACGTACGCGACGCGAAAATCTGCCAAAACTCTAAAACTACATTGACGCAACGTATAACGTATGCGATACGGATACGTGATACGGATGGGAAGATTCCGCTTGCCAAAAGTCTCTATTGTCCGTAATGCACGTACTTAGTGCGTACAAATATTGAAGAACATGCAAGGCAACCTAGTAAGAAAATTTATTATTGAATACTGAAGAACAATTGTAACGTTTCTGTGTTACTTATGATTATATTATATCATACTCAGACACGCGATGTAAAAAAAAGTTAGTTGTATTTTTTGTTCTTTTGTCGTTTGTCAATTTTGTTTAATAATAATATGCATGGTGGTTTTAGTGGGTGTATTGATACGATGATATCTGATATTATCATAGCATAATATTATATATAATTAGATTAATGTCTTTTTATTTCTAAGTTATACTAACGGACAATGATGATATTCCAACATGGACTAGTTTAAACATCTTCACAAACCAAAATACTGATGTCAACATCTTTTCCTATGATGTAACCAATGAAAACGATACGCTTGCCAGTGTACAGTTCTGTAAGTTATTAATACAGTTTTGTGTGTAATGTACAATAACTAAATATGACAGTTTTCTGTGTAATGTACAATATGTTGTGTGTGTAATGTACAATAACTAAATATGACAGTTTTGTGTGTAATGTACAATAACTAAATATGACTGTTTTCTGTGTAATGTACAATAACTAAATATGACAGTTTTGTGTGTAATGTACAATAACTAAATATGACAGTTTTGTGTGTAATGTACAATATGTTGTGTGTGTAATATACAATAACTAAATATGACAGTTTTGTGTGTAATGTACAATATGTTGTGTGTGCAATGTACAATAACTAATTATGTAAGTTATTAATACAGTTTTGTGTGTAATGTACAATAACTAAATATGACAGTTTTGTGTGTAATGTACAATATGTTGTGTGTGCAATGTACAATAACTAATTATGTAAGTTATTAATACAGTTTTGTGTGTAATGTACAATATGTTGTGTATGCAATGTACAGTATGTTGTGTGCGCAGTGTACAATAACTAATTATGTAACAGTTGAGTACACAATAACTAAATATGTAATAACATTTAAATATTTTCACAATTAATTCAAAAATTTAATTTTGATCTAAAACAGAAAGGAACGTTATAACAATGTATAAATATTTGTTGCCGTTTTCGCCATTTATTATTATTATAATTATTATTATTATTATTATTGTTATTATTATTACCACCAGTGTGTAGAAACTACCATCCCGGAAGTACCATTGTATTGGATGTGACTCACTCGTGTTCTGTAGCCGATCTTGGTGGTACGATATTTACTCCTTGGATTAGACCATCTTATACCGGATGTCACTGCCATCAAACGTCATCACTACAGGCATCTCATGACGTCATCATATCCGTGGCTTTTGATTACGTTAGACGTCAGAGGAATAAACTGGCAAAAATCATCATATTTACGGACAGCTGTCAATGTATGTAGGCTTTAATCAATTATTTTAACAGCTTATTTAACATTGACACTCTACCATTGTCCCCACAAGTATAGATACAATCTAAATGGTGTGATATACACTGCCTCGAACACGACACTTACCGCTAAATGAAACGCACTGTGGCCCAGGTATCATTTAATCTTGTGTATCTAGCACTAATTTCTTTCACAATCGTTAAATATCCAACCTTTGTTTAAAAATTCGTAAAATCTGTTTAAAATCACCATAAATCGTTTAATTTGTCTATCTGTCCAAAGATTTGATATTAAATGAGTGTGAAAGAAATTAGTACTTGGTACACAAGATGCCTGGGTTACAGTGGCGGTTGCTTCTGAATTTAAAATGGCACTTTTACATATTAGGGGTCATGATAAATCCAAGTGGGTTGGTGCACGTTAATACATTTTGACCGAAATCCCAAAATATTGAGCCACTGGAGTGTTGATTGTCAGAAGATAAAACAACTCATTAAAACCATGCCATTCTACAGGTGTATGAATTACTTGATAATCACAGCGGCCATTAAAACAATGCCATTATTCAGGTGTATGAATAAAATCATGACGATCCTTTACAACTACAGCTTCGACAAGCATGTAATCATTTATACAGCCTGTAATTTCGGAACCAAACATTGAAAGCATTTAGACAGGTTTATATACCCACCTAAAAGCTTCTTTATTAGTCCGAACGACACCTTTTCATCCTTTGATTCTGGAGCATAGCACATACGCATTTCAAGATGCTTTCTTCATGGAATTCGGTATACACACTAATCTATTCTGTTTATATGCTAATAAGACATTTCTGATCTGTTTGTATTTGTTGGTGAAAACACATTTGTCTTAGTTGTTGGTACGTGGATTGTGGATGAGTTACTTTGTCCTTTATTTAAAGATTCGCCGTCGATCCTTGATAGTGTCAATTTGACCGTTCCCGTTCTTCTGATCAACCCCAAGAAAATCAACATATCACAATGGCTGACCAAAATAAAGCATCATACCATCCGCCATTATCAGATTGTCATAGGAACAGCGTTTCAAGTCAACCACATTTTATGCACGGTAAGTCATTTTCATTAATGTTGTAAGCAAAAGATCTCATGATTAGAGGACCAATGACGTATTATGGGACACGGAAATGATATGAAATGGGGATTGACGTCCTTCTGTTCTGCGCCAACTAATGAAGACGGGCATACACCATACAGTGCGCCATGAATGAAATTTTGCCAAGGGTTCTCTTTTACGTGCACGTCACTGTGTACACGGGATCTCGGTTTTTCGTCCCACCCGAACGACTACACGTTTTCTTGTGTCCAGCAGGCCAACACCGTGATCGAACACAGTACATCCAGGCAAACGAGCCAACGTCGTACACCCAACGGCGCCTCATATGTGTTAGTATTTAGGTGACCGGTACCTGGGTCTTATTCAATTTGAGTGATCTTGCAAAATTCTGTCATCTTATTGGAATTTGTCACTGGCAGTTTCCACCCAAAGCTAGTTCTGAAAATAGAAAACTGATCTGTTTTCTTTTAAAAATGACGTCCTATATCTTTATTTGGCAGACGTAAGGTCAAAGGTCTAATCACAGATGAGCACCACCTTATAAAATAGTTGACGTGACACCGAGTACCCGACTGAAACCGTTTAAAATGTGGAAAATGCTTACATATCTAAGCTTTTAATGAAAATTAGACCTATGCGTTTTTCCCGACAGACAGTTAGGAATAATAGCTTGAGTAAACAAAATGGTTTTGTAACACATCGCGAGTACATCCACAAAACCGATGTTAAATGTCCTCAATGACAATATAAATCCTTCTGAATTATCAGTTTGGGGGATTAATCCACTTCTGAGTAGGTCAAAAGTTACCAATGATCAACCGCCCCCAATCTACCATAAATGCATATCTCAGTACAAGCTCACAATGAGTATCAAACTGTTCTTTGGAATCATCTAGAACCACATGAATCCTTATGATGTTTCACTTGCCTGAACTAACCCACTTCATGTAGACCAAAGGTCGCCATTATCAGCCTTTTGTACACGAGATTTTGATTTGATTAAATCGGTTGCTAGCTCCTGGACTATTGAGAGCAGGGCTTTACATTTAAAGTGACGCTTCTTCGATAGAATTCAGGCCTGTAAAACTTCAATACGAATATTAGAGCTAGTGGCCATCTTAATAGAAATGAAATCTTTTGTCGATCATCGGGATTTTATGTTTCATTTTGATGATCTATTGCGATAACTACTCTTCTATATTCGTCAACTCATTACTGCGGCCATAATATGTCCAAAATCATGATCACATGGCATATAAGTAATGGGAGTTTGTTCTTGTGTTTAGGTTTGATTTATTATCATTATCAAACATAACGAGTAAATAATATAAGTATTTGACTACTTTATATATTATGGACTGAAATAGTATTGTCATATTTTATGGCTAGTGGTTCCAGTTTATTAATCTTTATCACTAATGGTTTGGGGAGAATTCGTCAATGCAAAATGATCACAATGGAAACTTAATACTGAGTGGTTCCAACCATTAGTAAAATAGCATCTATGTCCTAATTGTCAGAGATCACTGCAACAAAAGTGAAATATATGATACACTTAACGATAATAATACAACATCATGGAAACAGTAAACCTATTAAATGATTAAAGGCAAAGTTGGTTTAATTTGTATCTGGATTGTGTCACGTAAACTACTTTCAATAATTATGTTCTTTATTTAAGGCCAAATATGTCGGACTGCCAGAGGCCTTCAGGTATATCATACATGTACTTGATAATCCAAGCAACATAGATTTGACTTGTGTAACCAGTCAATATGTCCTGATCGAATCGACAGTATCCAAACCTTCCTATAATCAGGACTCGCTTGATGCGATCAGTAAATTGGTAAGTCGCCGTGTTATTACATGTAGTTATTTATGATTAAGCAGTTTGATGTGCCTTGATTAACCAAACAGTATAAATATTTACACAAGTACAAACTTGGTTGTAATGAACCAATATTAAATTATATAAATTGTGGTTTTACAATATTATGGGTATATATATATACACAGAGAAATGGTGGTTTAACGTTCACTTGACACAAACTAGGTCTTTTCTAAACTAACATAAAGTTAAATTTTATTTCAGTAATTCGCTTGCGCGTAGGGGTCTTAAGCTGTGGGAGGAAACTGGAGAACCCGGAGAAAACTCACGAGGTTGGGCAGGCGACCCGAATCCTTGTCACGTACAAGTGGGAAATACGCCCTTTAAATATCATTTAATCTATCTATGTTTCAGCCTGGAATATCTGAGATATTATGGCCGTGGTTGCAGTCCATTCTACCTACGTTACCGCAAACATTTGATCCGTCAGCGAACATATGCAATGGGCCAGTCACCATCAATAATCCGGTAAACAAACTTTTATTTTAATTATCTTTTAGTTTAATGGACAATATAAATGAATGCAGACTATTGGCCTGCCTTTTGATTTTTTTTCCAAGTATTATATGTTTTGAATAGAAATGCTGACTGTTACATCTGTCCTAATAACCAACTTATGGTTTGTCTGCTTAACCAGGAATCTTGGAGAGAGAGAAAGAAATGGGGTTTTACGTCCACTCGACACAAACTAGGTCATTTCGGGGCTAACATATGGTTTAATTTTATTTCAATAATTCGCTTGCGCGTAGGGGTCTTTAGCAGTGGGAGGAAACCGGAGGACCCGGAGAAAACCCACGAGGTTGGACAGGCGACCCTACTACTTGTCACGTACAACCGGGGATTCGAAACCACGCCAGTTGACTCAATGACAGGCCGTAAGATACAGCACGCACGTGCTAACCATTCGCCCCCCCCCCCCAGGAATCTGATAAAGTTTGCTTGTTGGCCATGATCTCGTTATTAACGCTTTGATTAACAATAAATCAAGTAACCTAAATATAGACCGTCTGGTCTGGTTAACCACTGATCTAATATAGTGATGTAGTCACAGACTATCTGGTTAAAAATTAATATAATAAGTAATATGTTTTTATCTCCAGGTGATTCCACCAATTGGAGGAATACAGAATGAATTTAATTTGATTGAAATTACAAAACTATATAACACAGACCAACAAAAGCAGGTAAATTTTCAAAAAAAATCTTAACAATACATAAATATATCAATTGTTACTGGGCTTGTCTGTTGTCCTGTTATAAGTTCAGGGGTTTTACATAGGCCAAGCCAGTTCCCCAATCCCATTGAGACTTCCTGATTAAAATCATTGTTTACACAAAGCTTCACAGGGCGACATTTTCTGTATGGAATGAATGAATGAAATGGGGTTCTACGTCCTACTGTTCTGCTCCTATACTGGGCTAATGAAGACGGTCATACGCCATACAGTGTGCTATGAGTGAAATTTTTCCCGGGCAGCGGCACTATCGCCTACTCTTATATCGAATTCCAACTGCCAGGGGATCTTTTACATGCATTCCATGAAAGTCGTCGAAAGATTTTTTTATTTTATTTTTCTGCTTGTGTTTTGTTCGAAAGGTGGAGAAACATCAGGTATTCTACAAAGTGTACGTATGCCCAGTTCATTGTATCCGTATTAATGATAGACACATGGTGAAATAGTTTCCACTTGATTCACAGAAGATTAAACAACTTGCTGAAAGATGATCTGGGGTGACGACTACAAGCACACCAACATACACGGCTCGGCTAGTAAATTATATGCAGTTCCGGTATATATTTGATTTATGTCCTCCAAGATCAACATGTTCTTGCATTGGGTTCCTGTGTCAGTCTCTCTAACGAATGTAGAAAAAAGCGGGTCCTTACTTCAGTCATCATTTCTGAACTTTGTTTTTCAGATAGGACGCTGGACATTATTAGATGGTTACTTAGCAATAGAGGGTGTTGAGACTTTTCACAAGAATCATTTAATGGTAGCAACTATACATGTAAGTCAATCGTATTATATCCATGTATCGTTCATACATACTAAATAACGTTTTGTAATCATTCGGGTGGAACAAAAGAAACATAAAAGAACTTTGACGGAAAATGAAATAAAAGAAAACCACAACAGCGTTATCCAGGTAAAATTACCCTTATACCACATGACACATGTCCGTATACATTAACCCAGCCTGTGCAGAAAACTAGAAAGTTAAACCTAGTAACATTTGAAAAGAAAATGACAAAATTTTTGTCCGGAATTTAGCAATGTGTGCAAAACGAGTAATTTACTGCATTTCTCTTTTCCCTGTGTTATAAAGATACTGTACTGTAGAATACCTTTGCTTTCAGGAACCGCCATTTGTATTTCGTGAAGAGACTGAAAACGGAACGATTTATCGTGGTTACACTGTAGACGTGTTCAATGAAATAGCATCTAGACTCGATCTGACCTATACGATGTACGAAGTGCCCGATAAACAATATGGACGAAAGAACCCTGATGGAACCTGGTCTGGTCTGGTAGGAGAAATTCTGAAAGGGGTAATTTAGCATTTCAGATTTTGTAAAAATATATATTTTTTTATTTTGATCAATAAATCTATACTAGAAATCGATCTTTAACATAGATTCATTGAGAATTGGCTGATTCCCTTTTTTTCACAAATGAATTCCGAGATCTGTACATTTGTTTTCTGTCTAGCTTTAGTTATAATAAGCTTAATAATTTAATAATAATTTATTTATAATGCGCCTATTACCAATATAAAATTCTGCTCAATGGCCAGATAACATTTTGTGGACATCAAAATGGATGATAAAAAAAATGGCATACGATAACAATCAAAATATGGTCATAAAGATTATAATAAAATATTATTATATGACATGTAACAAAAAAATTAAAATAGTTTAAGGTAATAAAGGATAAAATAGAACAGCGTCTAAAACAGAATAAAATTAAATCGGATACCTGTATTTAGAGCCATAGTAGTCAACAAAAAGGCATGTTTTTAAATTGCGTTTAAAACTTTCAATGCTATCAGATAGTTTAATATTGAGAGGTAAGGTATTCTACAGAAAAGGAGAAGCGTGGGAAAAAGGGCGTTTACCATAAGCTTAGAACAAGAACCTTCAACGTATGTGCTGTAGATAATAATAGTATCTGATGTATTTCGTGTATTAAACCGAACACACCGCTCTGTTTAATCGATCAATAACCTTAGCAAGCAAGACTATTTAAATATTAAAGGTGCATTGTGGAAGATTTAGACCAGTACTGACTGTTCTTCCTATAATAATTCAAAAAATAGTTACTGAAAAATGAATATATTGAAAATGTCATTCCCATTTCTTTATTCTAAGCGAAGTTATTGGGGTTAAAAGATGTACATCACATCCACCCAATGGCCCAGGGGGTGATTAAAGGCTTGTCATCTGAATAGATATCATAATGAAGCCAAAAGAACGACCTGCAATAGGCAGCTTTTTCTCAAACTTTATTGGTTTTTATAATACATGTACTTTACTTGAAAAAAACTTATTCCAGTCTGCAGATATGGTAGTAGCTCCGGTATCGGTAACAGCGGACAGAGAAGCAGTCCTGGATTTCACCAGTCCTTATTATGACTTTGCTGGAATTCAGATCATGATGAAGAAACCAGATGACGAAACGTCCTTCATGACTTTTACTTTCGTTTTCTCTTCCACCTTGTGGTTATGTTGGTTTGCCGTTTTATTAATTACTGGCGGTTGCATCTATATCTTTGAGAGAAGCAGTCCATACAGCCCTAGAAATACACCGGGAGGATATTATACGATAATCGATAAGAAGGAGAAATATTTTGGTGTTGTGGATAGTTATTGGTACGTGGCAGCTTCGTTATCTTTGTACGGTACGTATTATTCACATTTCTAGCTAGCATGAACTATATATGTTGTTTGAAATCTTGGTGCTAACTCGCCGATAACTTGTCATTTTAAAGGAATTAAATCGCTAATATTTTGGACTTAGAAATTGACACAAATGGGTCATAACAACGCATATAATAATAATAATAAAATAAAACCAAGTACGAACAATCCAAACCATAAGACAGAATTCGAAGTCCTACAAAACGTTATAGGCAAAATAGTGTATTCAAGCAAAATAGTGTAATCAGCAAATGGACTGCTCCTCGTGTACATAATACACGACAAACAGTGGTAACAGGTGTCCGGAAGAGTAAGCTTACCCTGCCTGGCGCCACACCCGCCATAGCTGCATCCAAACTATTAGGCGAAATGTCGGTAAAATAGCGTGATTGGCCAATGAACTATCGGTATGCAAAATGCACGCGATGAACTGTGTTAACGATGTAGTAGACATTATCAGGGAGATAGTAATAGTATACGTGTCAATTAAATATATCTAGAATAATAGCCGAGAGAGACACGTTATATTTACCAATCAAATCAATATGACGGCCATAAAACTTTTTAAAGGTTTTAATAAGTTTAGTGCGCAAGTATCCTTGTAGTTGAAGCTTAGATGACAAATGCCTCGATCTACTTAAAAAATCAGAATAAAAGGAACAAGCTCTCGCGTAACGAATTAGCTGAGACACAAACACTCCATAAGCTGGTGATATTGGAATGTTACTACTAATAAATGGAAAGTTAACAATCGGAAAGTCAAATTCATCACGTTTATCGTACAATTTAACACTCAGTTTATGGCAATTGTCAAAATCGAGACGCAGATCCAAGTAGGAAGCGTAATTGTCACTGTCAGTGGTGTTTTTAATTTCGAGCTCATCAGGATATATGAATTCTACATAATCACTAAATTAAGGATTATTAAGTGATGAAACGTCATCGATATATCGATAAGTGAAATTAAAAAGTCTGACTGATCGTTTATTAGTTTGTACGAGCGTCTGTATGTAATCGGCTTCGTACGAATAGAGAAACAGATCAGCAAGCAAAGGTGCACAGTTGGTGCCCATGAGAATGCCAACCACTTGCTGATATATTTCCCCTCCAAATTCAGCAAAGATGTTATCAATTAAAAAATAAAACATCTGAATTATCTTGATGGCCGTGAATTTGTTTTTGGAATCACTGTGATTCTTAACGAAATATGTAGAATTGTAATTTACAACTAAATATTGATATCTCGCAGTACCTGATTTAGACGAAAAGACACAGTGAATAATGTCTTTCAACCGGGCTTTTAATTTACTATGGGGAATTTTAGTGTACAAAGTAGAAAAGTCAAACGTTTGAATAGATGAGACTGAAGCAAGGGATCTAGCTTGCAACCATCAAGTAATTCTTTGGAATTTTCAATATCCACATTTGATTTATACCACTACGAGAGTATATTTTGTCACAGTATTTTTGAATACCCTCTTTAACAGCCGTTAGTATAGATGTCAATACTTTTGAAAGTGGTTTTGTGGAACAACGGGATGAACCTGCTATAAAACGTTGCTTGTAGGGATTTTTATGTAGTTTAGGTATCCAATATAACAAGGGCAAATCTGTATAGGTATCTCCACACGGAGTACCAAATGAAGTGAGTACAGATTTGTGATTGGATATAATTTCATCCTTACTAAGAGTAGATCGTTTATATGTAGCACTGTGGATTGGTTTCCCGAAATTAAGTTCTTTGAACAGACAGTCAAAATAATGTCGTTTACATATAAACATTATGTTATTGGACGCCTTGTCAGCCGGAACAATGACATACTTGTCATGCAAGGCATTGAGATTTTCAACAATGCTAACATCATTGAAAATAGACTTAGGCCTAGTGTCAACTGACAAACGTTGCATGTATATTCTTCGTTTAAGTAAACGACTGATAGACTTAGTCCAATCAGAGAGAGTATCCGAGATAACATCTTCCCTCTTGGCCCATGATCTAGCGTAGTCCTCTACGGCATCCATAATAAGTTTGAAATTTTGATCCCATGAAAATGGTTGCGGTTCCCGGTATTTGGGTCCTTTTGACAAAATTTCACGTAGCTTATTATTCTGGACTATGTTCAAATCACCAGTGACCACATGTCCAGCTGGTGGGTAAAGGAAGGACGACGTAGAGCACAAACAGGGTAGAGGGTCATCATATAATTCTTTTGCATTGATGTTAGATAATGCATTTCTGTAATTAAATATTTTGGATGCAATGGGTTTAGTATAAGTATAAGAAATCCTAGGAACAGTAACAGTTTTGAAGTAAGGAGGGATGTGTGCTGTGACTTGCTTATGGTGTAATATTTGGCTTAACCCGATAGCATCAATGCCTTTATTAGCAAATTTCAGTTTTAGAAATGAACTGTTGGTGGTGTGTGACGCATCAGGCTCAGTCGTAATGTCCAAACGACGGTGGGCAATGTCAAGAACAATGGATACAACCCTGTATTCAGTGGATGCAGGAATATATATAAACTGATTTACATTCAATCGTTTTCATTTTTACTCTAATTTCAAATCAGTTACGTTCGGCGAAATATGTCAGAAGTCTCAATCGAATGAAAATTTCTAGCGTCTGGTTATTCTAGTCTACATAGTATTTATTGCGCATACTCTCCCGATATAAATATGCTGTCACCGTTTCACATGACTTGTTGAATGTCTAGCCTCGTTCTTCGCGTCCCTTGTTAGAATGGGCCTGAAACGAATTATGGTACACGATTCGTGTACTAATGGTGAAATATTTATTTTGTCTTAAATATTGGATATCAGAAGCCCACAACATCACAACATCAATGTTGATTTAAATTGACAAATAATTCGTGTTTTCAATGTCGAAGATTTTGGATGATATTGAGTTAGAGACTTAGCTACTTTAATATATCGGGGATAGCTTATCAGGAACCTCATCTATAAAACATACTACAGATTGCGTTTTGATGATAGCATATCAAGAACACCAAAACCAACATCTGTGTGAAAGTGGTCTACTATCAAATAAGGGATAGCTCACTAGGAACTCCAGAGGTGCACTAACATATTAGGGATAGCTCACTAGGAACTCCACCGGTCTACTAACAAATTAGGAATAGCTCACTAGCAACCCCAGAGGTCCACTAACATATAAAGGATAGCTCAACAGGAATGCCAGTGGTCTGCTCACGTATTAGGGAGAGCTCACCAGAAACTCCAGTGGTTCACTAGCATATTAAGGACAGCTCACCAGGAACCCCTGCGGTCCCTAAACATATTAGGGAGAGCTCACCAGCAACTCCGGTGGCTCACTAACACATTAGGGGTAGCTCACCAGGAACTCCAGTGGCTCACTAACATATTAGGGGTAGCTCACCAGGAACCCCTGCCGTCCATAAACATATTAGGGCTAGCTCCAGTGGGTAATTAACATATTAGGGATAGCCCACCAGGAACTACATATTAGGGATAGCCCACCGGGCACTACATATTAGGGATAGCTCACATTGAACTCTCTCTCTATTATATTGGGATGTTAAACCCCATTTTATTTATATTATAGGTCCCGAGTTTACACCCAGAACGTTTTCAACTCGTCTTCTCATCAGTGGTTTCTGGTTATTCTGCACGATCATCATGGCGAACTATATCGCTAACTTAGCAGCTGTATTAACCACATCACGTCTAACAGTACCCATTGATTCACTTGATGATCTTGCCAAACAAACACGGATTAAATATTCTCTAAAACGAGGAACAGTCATACAAGATTATTTTGAACGCATGGCCAATATTGAACGAAACTTCTACGATCTGTGGCGCAATATGAGCTATGGTACAAGCTTTGAACTCCGATCTCAGAGCGTTGCTGTGTTTGATTATCCACTAGGTGATCAGTACTTAACAATTAAAACAGCCATAGAAAGAACAGGACTACTCACCACTTCAGAGGAAGGGCTCAATAAAGTGTTGACCGAGGATTTTGCCATGATCCACGAATCGCCTATGCTACAATATGAATTGAGTCAAGATTGTAGATTAATCGCTGTGGGAAAACAGTTCAGTTCCAAACCTTATGCCTTTGCCTTACCGCAGAAATCACCCTTAACAAAGCTTATCTCTAAAACGTAAGAAATGTTCAATGCGTATTGTCAAGCTAGGGCAAAAGATTTTGAAATCAATCATGATAGATATGATTAAAGGACAATATTGGTGTCAATCACATATCAATATTGTCCTTTAACCATTGATTATATTATAAGTACCAGTTATTGTCAAGTGAGAATTATTAAAAGATCGTATGTTTGATGATCTTATTTTAAGCAAGGCTCAATTTGTTATTAAGTATGTAACTGTGGCAAAAAATATTTTTTTTGTGTCCTCTGTAAATTGTTAAAAAATGACTTTTAAAACATTTTGCTTTGGCTTGACGATATATATGTATACATCTGTCTTATGCCTACATATTTTTATATAATCCAGCGAACCCTGAATAGATTAATTTTGTTTCTTGCATTCAGGTATTATTGATTATTCGCGATAAACACAGATGTAATCGATCTATAGCCAAAAGTCTCTACCCCAAACGGTTATAAAGGCGGCTATATTTACCAAACGCCAAAGACTTGTTTGAACGGTTTGAGGGAGAGGGAGAGCAGAGGGCGGAGAGAGAGAGCAGAGAGAGAGAGAGATATGTGTTTAACGTCCACTCGACACAAACTAGGTCATTGAGGGAGAAAGAGAGCAGAGGGCGGAGAGAGAGAGCAGAGAGAGAGAGAGATATGTGTTTAACGTCCACTCGACACAAACTAGGTCATTTCGGGACTAATATACGGTTTAATTTTGATTTCAATAACTCGCTTGCGCGTAGGGGTCTTTAGCACTGGACACCCGGAGAAAACCCACGAGGTTGGACCGGCGACCCTACTCCTTGGCACGCACAACCGGGGAATCGAAACCACGCCAGTTGACTCAATGACAGATCTTATGATACACGCACACGTGCTAACCATTTGAAAATCCACCCCACCCCACCTCCTGAACGGTATAAAATAATCTACAAAATAACATATAAAACGTTTTGGCGGATGTGGTAATCCATCTGAAATTATTCGGTGTTTTGATAAACTACCTTTTTTGTTAAGATAAGGGGAGTAACTCTTGTATTCTACTGTTACCACAGCTTGGTTTATCTAACGACAGAAGTATGGGTATGTGTGCCATTTTCATGTTTAGTCCAATTATATTTCAGAATTTTACAGCTGCAATCGGAAGTAGTATTAGATGCCTTGCAACAGAAATGGTGGACGGGAGATAACTCTAATCAGTCATGTTCTACTATCGATGAGAGCGATGGTTTAACCTTCCATACTGTTGGCGGTATATTTCTAGTCGTTATATTTGGTATGGGACTCGGTCTCTTGGTGTCCTTGGTAGAGATCATGTGGTACAACATCCGACCACGTGCTCAGGTAATTTATTTTAAGAATAATTTCCAGATTTTTCGCCTGGTAAATATATATCTTTTTAAACATATTAATGTCGGCGACATCACTTTGGTGGAAGCGGACGCTAAATAAAGCTAGTTCACACACACACTATTTTTCACAAATGAAACACTTTGACTTTGTCTGGAAGTTCCAACACAAAAATAAATTAAGCCGTTCCGAAATGATTACCTGATAAATAGAGAATCTCCTACTCGTCTTTTGTTATATTAAAAAATATCAACACAAGTCGATAAAGTAAAACAAAAACGAACATCGACGAGTGTTGGTATTTTTAGATATCAAAAAAGACGAGTAGGAGATTTCATTTATCACACAAATCCGTTCTTACATGGACAAATAAATAAATATAATTTGTTGCTATAGATTTCACTTTTACTGAACCCGATTAGATTACTGCGTAGTGATAATCATTTTTTGGCAGCAATTCAACCATTGCAAAGTCCTTTATATTGACCCAGTGTTTCCATCAAGGTCAATTAAATAAAAATAGTTCCTTTTTAATAAGAAAGAAGTTACTTGTAATAAAAAAAATCAACTGCTCTCTGAAAAAAAAAATAGTTTCTTTTTGTTTAACCAATCAAATTCATGTAAGGAGATATCGCAGTAGATTATGTAATTTATCACACAAGCGATATCTACTGTAGAATGTAATAGTGGGTGATAAACGTGAATATTAGTTTTCCTACACCTCGGTTATTTTCAGCAAGTATCTTGGTTTCGCGTCCCTACCCTAGTTTCGCTGATATAAAATTATACGAGTTGACCTAATTTGTGTTGAGTAGACATTAAACGTGACCTCAACCACACATACACATCATTTAAAGTTGAAAAGATTGAACACAATTGCACCACAATGAGAGACATTAGTAAAATATCACCGTTCAACTGACACATACTGCATACACCGGTATAATATCCGCCTGGATTTGTAAATAGAATATATTTGTACTAAAAAACCATCGCGCAACGTCGCGCTACATGCATAACAAACGAGAGGTTTTATTTCATGTAAATAGTTGGTGTGTTTTTGTTGCTACTCATTCTTGTTGTGTTTCTTTGGGGCGGGTTTGTACGAAAAAAGCGTAAACTAAGGCTCTATCAATTCATGCATGACAGATATGACAATTTTCATGCCTTGGAGATTTGATCATCGATTGATGTCCTAATTTCAAGATGGCTGCGATGACGTCAAAGTCATTTACTGTGTTACATGTACTTCTTCTAATAACAACCCTGGAGATTATATCTCATGACCATTGAAATCGATGTTGTACGATGATACAAATATATTACATATGTATTAAATATTAAATCGATTCTATTTTACAGTCCAAAATCAAACAGCATACATTAAATGAACAGAACAGCCGAACCAATCTTGCCGATGATTTTGATAGCATTCCATCAGTCGACACAATAAACAGTGCGGAATCAGTGAATTTATAAATATTAAAATAGACTGTGTTTTGTACCATGTTGACTGATCTATGTGAAATAAAATTTGATTTACGATGCATTGTCTGAATTATTTTCTTCCGAACGGCAGTTCAGTGAAATCACGTGTGCTCGTTGACGTACACGTAACAGAACCCTAACAGATAGAATTCGAAATAAGAGAAGGTCGTAGTACCGCTATGTAGATGATTTTGCTAGAAGATGAAACCAAATAAAATTAAACGTCCTACTTGTCCGCACCAAATCTTCTAATGAAGAGATAGAGAGAGAGAGAGAGAGAGAGGGAGAGAGGGAGGGGGTTTAACGTCCACTCGACACAGACTAGGTCATTTCAGGTCTAACATATGGTTTAATTTTTATTTCAACAATTCGCTTTCATATATGGGTCTTTAGCAGTGGGAAAAAACCGAAGGACCCGGAGAATGGAGATAGACATGCACCAAGTAGTGTGTTATAGGGGTAATTTCGCCCGGGTAGCCGCCTTTCCGGCTATTCGTCATCTTATTCCAACTACCAAGGCATCTGTCACATGAAGCCAGGATATGCACGTAAACTTGTTTTGCCTTCCTGTCTGAACGATGAGACATCGTTATTTGCCAGACCGTCAAACCTGCACCGCCAATAAGGCGGAGACATGAACAATCTCATGGAGATTTCTCATTCACACCGGGCGGGGTCGACCCGGGACCACCTGGTTAGTGAAATCACCGGGATCAAACCCGACACGTCCATAGTTACTGAGCCACTGATACCAAACTTAGGCTGCGTGTCTGAGAACAGACACTAAGCTAGTTGGCCGACATTTTAAGTCCTGAATCAACAATTGTAGTCGAAAACAATAAGCATATTTCGAGAATGTTGGGAAGTATTTGTAATATGTCTCTCTTATTCTAAAATAACCAACCAACAGCCAACTATTTTTTCATGTGTTCCAAGGTGTGCCGTTGGCAACAAAAGGTTGAGAGCCACTGGTTAGATTGTCATCGCTTTATCCAAACTTTTCGCGCAGTTGTAAATTTAAATTGACTAAACAGAACCGTTGTAGCAACGTTTTGTTAGAATAACACTACGAATTACATTGTCGATATCATTTGCCATTCGGGGCAATCCCGACTAAAACAGAACCGTTGGAACGTGGTCTTTACATCTTGGTTCTCTACAATTTAGAAAAATATCCGATTGTCAACGTTAAGTGATTACATTAATCTTTAAGTGGCATTTAGCGATTGGGAAACACATTAACAGAACACAGTTTTTATGGGAAACAATCACTGGTTTATTCTAAAAGCACAACGTTTCGACAAGTATCATCTTATTGTTATAAACCAATGATGGTTTCCCATAAAAAAAACTGTGTTCTGTTAAGAGATTGCAAATAATGGAAAATTGTAATGCATCAATTATTTTTTTTCCGACATTGATGTAGATTTTATATTCCCTAGAGAACAATTTTCACTTAAATAAACCACAGACAATAACACTATCAACAAATAGAACTTAATTTTTAATGGCTACACCAGCAAATGTTTCAGGTTTAATCATACAGAGATGAATACAGTAATTCTTGAGAGGATTAGTATTAAACTTACTGGGAATGTACATCTAGTCCTTTAGTGTATACCTTTAGAAATTCAGAGATATTGCCACTGTCCCTGAAATCTTGAAATGTATACATGGAGCAAAGTTTTCGACTACGTGTTGCATCGCACTTCAGACTTGCCCATCGATTTATGCATGTTTATTGCACATGGTTCTTGAAAACCACTTGATGGTGTGGTTGTACTACCACTTGAACGTCTCTCACCCGGCGCTGGGAGTCGCCCACATACTTGCATTTCAGAACTGCGGCAATCAAGCAAAGTAATGGTTCACAAATGTCTTCATTAGTAAAACTACTATAATTAAAATAAACAGACTAATTCCCAGATCGTTGATTCTCATCCAGATTAAATAAATGGAGTCCATGGTAATAATAATGTTCATTGTCAAAGGCCATTATCTTAATGGCCACCGCTGACTATTTAAAACTCTGGTCTGTTGGACGTTTCTCATTTCAATATCGGAAGGTTCAGACATATCAAACATCGGATAACATAAAGGTAAACAATTGTTTTTCTTTTTTTAATAAGGAGGGGTTTTTGTAAATAGGGGTTAGGTGGCCGAATGGTTAACGTGCGCGCGTAGCATCATCAGGTCTGTCATTGAGTCAACTGGCGTGGTTTAGATTCCCCGCTTGTACTTGCCAAGGAGTAGGGTCGCCTGTCCAGTCTCGTGGGTGTTCTGAGAGTCCCCCAACTGCTAAAGACCCATATGCGCAAACAAATTATTGAAATTACCTGGTGTGTCTCGAGTTCACGTTACTCTTTCTATCTATTTCAATCTCTCTCTATTTGTGGGTAGCCCAACTATTTATGGTTGCTGAAGAAACGTAGGATGTTAAACCCTGACGTATCGGTATCGGACGACCAGCCAATACCCCTAACAATTAACAGAAATGACCGACAGTAAACGTTATATTGTTAATAAAATCAAACGGAGTTTACTTTTCTTCATCAACAGGCATAACTTGTGCGATGGAGGTGGAAGTTATGTCCGGACAGCGGCCATTCCGCTAACTCATTCATTGCATGACAGCTGAAAAAGCGTGTACCCGGGACCTTGCTTTTTAATACTCATTTCGAACGACAAGATGGCGGTCATTGCCAGACATGGGAAACGCATACTGAAAACTACATGGCTAATACATTTCAAGTGGTTGTCATCGATCAAATAATATTTTGTATGTCTTTATACTTATAGGTAAAATGGTTTCGTGCATTATACTGATGCTGTCTTTTCTGCATCAGGCTTTTGCCGAAGTTGATATAGCACTAAATATGTCGGCTTATGATTACGACTTTCAATATTTTAATGACACCGAGAGTCAAAAGGCCGTTATATTCAACAAATATTGCCACCAGGCCTGTAAAACCGCCTTTACGAAAGGTACAGCTGATCGAAATGAGGACTGTGCTGAATGTTTTTGTGATGATGCGTGTATGATTTACAACGATTGTTGTCCAGATAAATACGTGATCGACGGGATTCCGGCGGTCGAAAAACGCACAGAATGCAAATCAACCCTTTATCCCGAGTTTCCAGAATCATATGAAATTTTGAACGAGTGTCCACCGCCATTCTCATGCCAAGGTATAACTTTTGATGAAGTGCCGACCGTGTACGAGTTCGTTACCACTTGTCCAGAAGAATTTACAGATAAGATTCTGAGAAGTCAGTGTGAGCAACCCGTTGAAAACGACTTATCTACTTTCCAACCTCTGACAAATCCTGCAACGGGGGCAGCATATCGCAACAAATACTGCGCTGAATGCAACAAGGTGTATACGGGCAATATATGGTCCATACAGTTCATATGTCGAGGCGAGTTACCGAAAATATTCGGCAACACGTACATGGAGGTCCACGACAATTTCCTGAACGCCAGTGGCTGCTACAGATACTTCACTCCTCCTGCGATGAGCAGGCCTAGAATTTGTTCGGAAAAACAGACAAATTTGATTTCTCGATGCAATGAAACGGGTTTGTGGCAAGTATTTGATAATAGACTGAATAGCGACTGTCTTGGATCGGAGTATTACCTAAGAGTGAAGTCCTTCAAGAACATCTTCTGTTATTTATGTAACACAGATGTCACCTGGTTCAACCTCCAGCATGATCAACCAGCACCAGCCCCACCACAGTCATCAAGACAGTACGTGAGCGATATTACGATGATGATAACCAATACGGAGACGTATGCCAAGACTAAAATTTGGAATCCTATCAAGGTATGATTCTTTATATACTAAACAGCAAACAAAAAAACAAAAAAAATAATTCAGTACGATTTCAAAATGAGAGAGGCACTTTAATCAAATCATTCCAGAAAAAGACTTACTAAATGGATCAAAGCAATTATTTGTGAATAGTATGTTGACACAGCAGTGATTAATTCATCACAATTTGGCAAGTTTTAAGCAATGCGTTTATTCAGGGTAACATATCAACCTTTTGCTGCTTAGTATCTAAAATAAATATGACAATGGTTTGGCCTACGCAACCGAATAGAGAGAACTATTCTGTATAGAACTATAACATATTTTACAACTATCACTGTACAATCAGGGTTGAATGTTAGGGGGGGGGGGGGTAATATCGGAGGACAGACAACAAGTGAAATCAACACGTGACAAATATGCAATTTTCATAGTGATATAGTGACGTGCGCGCTGTATCTGAAGACCTGTCACTGAGTCAACTGGCGTAGTTTCGATTCCCCGGTTGTAGGTGACAAGGAGTAGGGTCGCCTGTCCAACCTCGTGAGTTTTCTCTGGGTCCTGCGGTTTCCTCCCACTGCTAAAGACCCCTACGCGCAAGCGAATTGTTGAAATATAATTAAATCATATGTTAGACCCGAAGTAACCTAGTTTGGGTCAAGTGGACGTTAATGTACCCAATGGCTAAATGCCAATCAAGGATTATGGACAAATGAAGACGGGTATACGCCATACCGTGTACTATGAGGGAAGGTGTGTCCGGACAACGGCAATACGGCCAACTCATATCGGATTTCAACTGCCACGGGATCTTTTATGTGCACGCCAATGCGTAAACGGAACCCATGCTCCCATCCTATCCGAACGACTCTACACTCTCCCTTGCCAGGCCCTCGGTCTTACATCACTGACAAGGGGGAACCACGCCGGAACGCTGGGATCGAACGTGGGACCTACAGGTTAGCGAGCCAACTTCTTACTCGCTCCAATTGAATGTACAAATTGTAGATATGAGGCCCTGTGTAGAAACCGTTATTACCCCGTTTAAAATATTATTTTACCTCTTTTTTACAGAATCAGTGTATAGAGCCGAAGTGTCCCGATGGCAAGGTATTGAATAACGTGTCGTGTGAAGCCATAAGCAATGTTTTAAACACCTATAAGTTTTCTGTATGTATAGACATGCATGATATATGGGGGAAGGAAAGCATGGATAGCCACCTAA